AGCTGCTATTTCTAAGCTGATAAATGACACATAAAATCTGTTTATCAATTTCTCTTGAGAAATAAGAGTTGGTAAAAATGTCCCTCCACTTTACAAGTGGCTAGTGGAGACTAGCGATTTCTTTCTTCCAATATGACATATACCTTTAGATTGCCAGTTTTCAACTACTTATGATAAAGACTTGACCTCTGTTGGTGTTGGAATTTGTGGTTTTAATGTTGTCTTTTCCAATGTAAATTGGTCTTTCTCAGATTCCTCCCAAATTTGCAACTTTTTCTACCTGTTATATTGAATATCATAACAAAAATTCTGATAACCCACTAAGAAACCCATCAGAACTGTCAAGAAGCAAGACTGAGCAGGCACCATTGGCTCGCACCTGTAATTCTAGCTGAGATCTAAGGATTGTGGTCCAAAGCCAGCCCTGGCAGGAAAGGCTGTGAAACTCAGCACTCAGGCCCAGAGTTCAAGCCCCATGACTAAAAAAAAGAAGAAGAAGAAGAAGAAGCAGAAGCAGCAAGACTGTAGCCTTTTGGACAAGATAAACAATAAAAATCACTGCAGAGATTCTTATCAGTTAGGAAAGGGAAAATTTCACTCAACTGGTTACAGAAACTTGGGATATGTACAAAACTTGGGATATGTACAAAATTTGTACAAGTATGTACATTTTGCTGGGATGGAAATCCCAGCTCTGCAAGAGGGTAAAAGGGGCAAAGTGGTAGTCTATGAGTGCCCTTGTTCCTGGGAAAAGAGAGATTAAACAATACTGGTCTCTTAGAAGAAGCCTTAGGGGATTCACAGAGAAAAATACTTTAGTAACACAAAGTGCATCTATGAGAAAGAATTGCAGTATCAATATCACATTGCATATAACACATCTCAAATCATGAAATGAGAGTGCTGTTACTTTGGGAAATGCCTTATCTAAAGTTGTACAAAATTTTGACTGGGGAAATTTTTTTTAACCTACTTTAGTCTGTTTCTTTGTTCTATTCTTGAAACCTTTACTTGTATTTCTCAATGACCTCAATTATTTTAGAGCTACCAGGACAATTTTGTATTTAATATTTGCTACAATTTTCTTTCCAAACACAAGAACTCCCTGCCTCCTCAAAACAAAGAAATTTCATTAAAGGGTCAACTAGGAAAACAAGACTTGAAGCCAGGCACTAGTGGCTCATGCCTGTAATCCTAGCTATTCAGGAGGCTGAGATCTGAGGATCGCAGCTCAAAGCCAGCCCGGGCAGGAAAGTCTGTGAGAGTCTTATCTCCAATTAACTACCAGAAAACCAGAAGTGGCTCAAGTGGTAGAGTGATTGCCTTGAGCTGAAGAGCTCAGGGACAGCACTCAGGCCCAGAGTTCAAGCCCCACAACTGACAAAAAAGAAAAAAAGAAAAGACTTGAAAACTCCAAAGTTGCTTTAACAATATATGTACATGCTTGAACTTTTAGAAATCTAAAAGTGAAAACTGGCTGCCTAATGTCATTATATTCTTATTATTGTTCAATTATATTATATTTTTCAACCTGTTATTAAAGCAGATCTACTTAGTAACAGTAACTGAATAATTTTTAGTGGTTATACTAATATGTCAGATGGAATTCAATAATTTAGATCAAAACATATTATGCATCTATGAAGCCAACTAAGAAAATACAGAAGGCAATTACATTTTTTTATTTGCTTGTGTTCCTACTCAAAGTTATTAATATATGTGTATGTAAAGAAAACAGCATGTAGGGGCTGGGAAGGTGGCTCAGTGGTAGAGCGCTTGCCTTGCATGCCTGAGACCCTGGGTTCAATTCCTCAGCACCACATAAGCAAAAAAAAAAAAAAAAAAAAGAAAAGAAAAAAGCCGGAAGTGGCGCTGTGGCTCAAGTTTAGAGTGCTAGCCTTGAGCTGAAGAGCTGAGGGACAGCACCCAAGCCCAGAGTTCAGACCCCATGACCGGACCCAAAAAAAAAAAGAAAAGAAAAGAAAAGAAAACAGCAGGTAGGATTAAATACTTATGATTTTGAACAGTTAAATATAAAAGGCTTAGATTTCTAGCCCGTAGTAAACCCTCAATCAATGTTGGCTTTAATTTTTATAATTGTAATATTTTCTCCCAAGTGGTTCTTTATAATGCCTTGTCTTTTAAAACTCTCAAAGTCCGAATAATGGCTCCTCCCTTCCTTCTGTATATGTAGAATGTATCATGTCAAATTCTGTTTCTACACAAGTAGCTCTAAAATAGTTCTTGAATATCTATGATTTTTCTATACTGTTCATATTTGTTTTGAAAACACTAAAATGGCAAATTCCATTGGCTGCAAACAGTATCCAGAACAAATGTGTTAATAAGTTATGCTTTACCCCATCTTTTCTGTCCTAGGTCATTTACTCTGCCAACCAGGGCCAACCATTATCTAACAAGAATCTAGAAATCGGAACTTCAAATTGTTCTTGTGAAACTAAAGGTAAAGATTCATGTAGAAGACTTCTTATGAGTTTCTCTACAGAACAGAATTAGTTATGTCTTTAACTAAATAAGGGGTAATTAGAAAGGTGAACCTACTCAAATGGAAATTCTACATGGCACACTCAAAACTTTATATAGTATGGGAAAATTGTGAGAAAGGACAGCATGAGAAACAGGAGCCAGGAATTTAGAGACAAACACTTTAATGAACAGGCTGATTAAAAACATGTAAAAGTGGGCTGGGAAGGTGGCTCAGTGGTAGAGCGCTTGCCTTGCATGCATGAGGCCCTGGGTTCGATTCCTCAGCACCACATAAGCAAAAAAAAAAAAAAAAAAAGCTGGAAGTGGGCGCTGTGGCTCAAGTGGTAGAGCGCTAGCCTTGAACTGAAGAGCTGAGGGACAGCGCCCAGGCCCAGAGTTCAGGCCTCATGACTGGACCCCCCCCCCCCAAAAAAAAAACATGTAAAAGTGTAATATCTAAGTTGCTATATACTGGCAGAAAGTTCCTCCTGTCTGGCCTCAGGCCCTCCTGCTGTTGGAAATTTACTCTCTCCCCTGAACCCCCTTTTCCCTGGGAAAAGAATATCCATGGGAACAAAAATGTGAAAGCAGAAAACAGAACAAAATATTGATAAAGGCCAAAAACCTCTGGGAAAAGAAAAACCCCAGACAAAGGCTGACCATTAGTCAGCCTTTGCTCCTTCTACATCCTTGCCAAAAAGCAAAAGAACATCTCTCCCTTACTTAAGTTTACCAAGCTAGCAGCTTTGCAGAAAGCTACTGACAACCTTGAGGCTTATCACCAGCTGCACTGAGTTGCTGTATTAGTCAGGAGCTTGTAATGAAAATAATTTCTGTAATAGTGTCAATAGCATTGATAGTATTAGTCATGCTGACCAAGTCAAGATTATGTTTTGCCTATGCTCTGTGACTCAAGGCTATGTTTTTGCTACGTTTTGCTTCTGTAACCTTGCTTGCTTGCCTCAATAACAGAGCCTTAAGCCCACCAATTAAAGACCATCACCAAGTGGTCCCACTATGGGTAGCCTATTACAAATTATTACGTATGATATCTACCATAAAGAACAAATAGATTTAAAGTTCATTTAACTATAACAAATGAAAATCTGCCAAACTTCCCTTGCATGGCTCATCTATGTAACTTTATGTAATCTACCCTGAGCTCAAGGCCATTCTCCTACTTTCCTCGTAGTAGGAAGCCATCCCTGTGGGGTGGTAATAAAGTTCCTAGCTCCTTTAACTTAGTGTCTTGGAGTCTCTTTTGGATCCGAGATATTATAAAAGAATCTTAACTCTCACATTCCTGCATAAGCGCAACATTAATAAAGGGAAAAAGAGAGTAGCTATCTTTTCTGATCTTGTCTGTTTGACCAAATAATGAGTGTATTTTGGGAACTGAACAAGGATAGCCTAAAGAAAAAAAAATTCTTAAAAAACTGTCCTGAAAAAAATGACTACTCTAGCATGAAAAGTATTTACAAATGAAAATATCTACTTGAAGGCCTAACACCTATTTTTAAAGGAATATCTGGAAAAGCCATCTTTTGTTTAGAGGTATGTTCAAACATCCATGTCACAATTACCCAAAGTTAATGGCCCCACCAACAGGAATATCTCTGCTGCTCAACTGGAAAAACAAGTGTAGTCGGGTACTCGTGACTCACTCCTATAATCCTAGTTACTCAGGAGGCTGAGATCTGAGGATTGAGGCTCCAAAGAAGATAAAATATGGTATTCTCTTAACTCCAATTAGCCAGAAATGGAGGCACGGCTCAAGTGGTTGAAAACCCTGGGCTCAAGCTCCATTGGCAACACACACACACACACACACACACACACACACACACACACACACCCTGGGTTCAAGCTCCATTGCCAACACACACACACACACACACACACACACACACACACGCTACAGAGTAACAGAAAAAGAAAAATTAACAGGTGTCTATGAGAGGGGAGCACCTATTCTAAGGTAAATTTTCATCAAAGCCCACTCTACTTTTCACCACAAATGCTCATTACACTTGCCATCAGGCCTGCCTGCACCCATTGGCTGTATACACTACTTTTGTATCTTTACTAACTTAACATTCTTGGTCTTTACCTCAATGTGTCTTAAAATTATTTTTTTTAGCCACTTTTCACACTCACTACTCAAGAGCCAGATGGAGACCGCCTCCTTGGAGTATCAGACTCCAATCGTCAACTCCGCAAGCACCAGCATCGTCAGTTCTGCTAACAATCCGGCAGCCACATTGGGCGTGAACCTCCTGTTGCGCATGCGCCAGAATCATTGCCTTGGGACGTGGGCCTTCGGTTCTTTCCAGGGCTCCTTCCCAGACTTCCGTTCGAACTTCCCGGCCGTGTGTGAATCCGCTAATCACGAACGTTTCTCCCAGGACACGCCCCCCCCCTCCTCCGCCCCCTTCGGAACCCGGTGGCGAGTGCACGCTACCCCCGCCCCTCCTTACGCACGCTGCGCGCGGACGTCGGTCCGTGGTGCGGCCGTCCCCGGGCGCCGGCTCCCGCCCGGGCCGCTTCCGCGGGCCGTTGGGCTGCGGGCTGGAGTCCCGCCCTCCGCCCCCACCCTCTCCGAGCCGCCCTGGCAGCGGACACCCATGTGTGGGTTCGGTCTCCTGCGGGTCCCGCCGCTGCTGTTCCTGCTGCACCGGCTCGGGACCGGAAACACCTTGTTCTTCCTCCAAGCCCAGACCATGAACCCGGGGGGCAGCGGCGGGGCGGGGTGCGCCCCGTCGGCGGAGGGACGCCGCCCTCGGTGTCTTCGGCTGTCCAGCGTGCCCGGAGCGGACCCGCAGCGCGGCAACGACCTGCTGCTGCTGGCGGCGGCGGGGGAGGGACCGGAGCCGCGGGGCCTCCCCGTGGACCTGGCCGCCGAGGAGCCGCCGCCGCCGCCGGCGCCCCAGCATCACGTCCTTTATTTCCCTGGGGATGTGCAGGTAACCCGGGGCCTGCCAGGGCGCCGGGTCCCTCTAGATGCTCGGGCTCGATGCCTGGCCCCGCGGGGCGCACCCCACGCGGCGCCCCGGAGCTCCCGGACCCGGCCCTTCTCCATGGAAGATGTCAAAGGGTTCTTGCCTGGAAAGAGCCATCTATCAATCCGGGCGTGTAGGGTGTGCGTGCGTGCGTGCGTGCATGTGCGTGTGTGTGTGGTGGCAGGGTACCGAGAGATGGCTTCTAACCCCGTACGCCGCGTTCCGAAAACTCTGACAGTAATTTTAAAATTAAAAAAACTCAACCGTGGTATGGTATTCTCAGTAACCCCAAAAAGCAGTGGTGCTGATGGCCGTGATCGCTAACCATGCCCGTGTTTTGATGCCCACGCAATCTGGTATCGTTTAAATAGCTGCAGGTGTATTATTAATAGCTGCTGGCAAATACCCGTTTATGATTATGTGGTCCTGGAGGCTGGGTTTTCATCGACAACTGCACGGTGATACGTTAGCCGTCAGACACGAGACCATCTAAAGTAATTAAAATTCAGGAATAGTGACAATCCGGTTTCTCTGTGGTACGAGTTGTATTCCAAGTGCTCAGTCACTAAAATGGTGCGTGTGAACCCTCTTTATGTGGACAGCGTTTCTTGGAACATTCCTGTCCTCACAGGAAGTTATGTGAGACAGGTAAAGCTAACTGGTCCGTCCCTTCGTCTGCGGTCTCTTAGGCTTTTCAATATCTTTACCTTGTCACACCTTGTTTTCTGTCTTTGTCTCAGGCTTTTATCATTTCTATTAGTAATTTGATAGCTGAAGGCATATCTCTTATTCATTTCATAAGCTGCATGAAAATACCTCTGGTTATGTTGTTGTGGAAACTGGATTTTTAATGTAAAACTTGGCATGAGCCATTAGACATCGGACACCATCAGAATTACAGTGAAAATGAACATTCCCCTTTCTTTGTCATACTAGTTGTATGGCCTGTGATTCGTTACCAAGATGCTGAGTCTTACTGTTTTACTCCGTCCCAGCTTCTTGGTATTGTTCAGGTATGTCAGGCACACCTCACCTTCAAAGCTTCCTGCAGTCTTCCTGTGGACCTCGCTCTGTATTGCCTCCCCTCATTCAGTCTTCTTAAGACCTTCCCTTTCAGTGAGGTTTTTTTCTCACCACCTATTCAATGATTATAATTATACGTGTGCACAGTCTATCAACATTTCTCCCCCCCCACATTTTTATTAGCACATACTAATTGCACAGGGGTTTTATCGTGCTTTTTCCATACATGTATATAATATGCCTCGATCATATTCACCTGCAACTTTTATCCATTTTGTCTGTTACTTTTCATTTGGGGTTTTGTCTGTTTTTCTATACCTAAATTGTAAGCACATGTCTATTCACTGATCTATCTGCCATGCTGGGTGACTAGCATGTTCAAAGTGTTCAGTAGACAATTTGCATAAATGAATCCATGTAAGTTGCTTTAAACAATACAGTTAAGTGCTTGACACGTGTTGTCTATTTTAAAATGATTTCAGGGTCAGATTTCCTCATTTAGGTCTTTGTAATTCTTTTGAGCATATTAAGTCTAAACAGAACTTGTTGCCGCATCTTGACATAGACTTAATATTTGGTATTAATCAAAGCTGGTTGTCCAAATAATTTTAAATCCTTTTTCATTACTTTCCTGATAGTCCTTTTGTGCTCATTTTCCCATGTGTAGCTTTTTAAAAAAAAAATTCTATACATTTTCCTTTATCATTTGAATAAAAATAGAGACGATAGTTAATCATATGCATTTAGATAACTTACATTCTAATGTACCATCAGATTTTGGAGGGTGTATGAGAATGTATGTTGAAGTCTGTTGCTTTTGAATTCTGAGTTAACTTGAAATCTTGGGATATAAAACTATCTCCTTTCCTTTCCTTTCTTTTCCTTTTCTCTCTTTTTTTTCTTTTCTTTTTCTTTTGGTTCAAGTCCTGGAGCTTGAACTTGGAGCCTGGGTGCTGTCTCTGACTCTTTTTGCCCAAGGCTTAATTGAAGATAACAGTCTCATGGACATTTCCTGCCCAGGCTGACTTCAAACCATGATCAGATCTCAGCGTCCTGAGTAGTTAGGATTATAGATAGGCAGGAGCCACAGGAGCCCTGCTCAGAGCTCTCTCTCTTTTTAAAGCTACAATTGATGAATTTTGAGAGGTGTTAGATTTATAAAACCACTATCACTGTGGTGTTTTAAAGCATCTCCATCATTCTTTTAATCAACTCCCTCTTCCTAGACCCATGCAACCACTGACCTACTTTCATTCACAATAGTTTTGCCTTTTCTAGAGTTTCACTAATCTGGAACTATGTAGTCTTTTGTGTCTGACCTTTTTTTTTTTTTACGTAGCATTCTTTTGAAATTTATCTGTACACAGCTAGTTTCTTTTTATTACCAAGTAATATCCTATGTATGGATATACAGTTTGTTACTCTGTTCAGTGATTCATAATATTGTGTCATTTTAAAGAGAAAAGTTATATAGCTATATAGTTGATCCTGTCCTGTGCTTTATCAGGCAGTCTGGTCATTGTGTTGGCCACCTAGTTTAAAGCTTTATAATGAATGTTTCTGGGTCCTTGTAGATACACCAAGTTTTCCTAAAAGTCCTCTAGCCCTTACTTTAATAGTAATATGTAGTATGGGATGGGCCTGTAGATCATCAACAACTGAGATAAACGATATTCTCTTGTCTCCTGCTTTGCCAGAATGGGAAACCACAGGCCTACCCCAACAATGATAGTAAGTGCATCATTTCCAGACAGGATGAAAACTTTACAAAAAAAAAAAGCTCTTTTTTTGTAGATTGCACATAAGGAGTAGTCGAAGTTGCAGACTCTGTATGTATGCTGGGACTAGCACTTGAACTGAGATGATTTTCCTATCTTTTTATCTTTGAATGTAGATGCCACCAGCATCCAAGTTTATTATGTTTTTAATAGGCGTGTGCATATTGCTAAAATTCAATGTTTGAAGGTTGTACATTGAAAAGTTTTTTACCCATTGTCTCATCTATTTCCCTTTACAAACACTACCAGTTGTCCCCCTTTAAATATGTGTATGTTTATGTGTATATATACACATACACTATTCCCTCAGAGATACTCTATGCATGTGAGGTTTCTAGAAAAACATAAATGGTAGCTTACCAACTATTTTGTTATTCCTCTTTCTCCCACACTCTATTCAGTCCATCAGCCAATCTGAGGAGGTAGGTTGACTCAGTTATATTCAGAAATCGGACTACTACTCAGCTCCTTCACTTCCACTACTATTCTGATCTAAACCACCTCTTATGGAGATATTTCAGTGTCTCCATGCTAAAGCTGTTGCTCTTTTCCATGTAGGACTAGAGTCATTTCAAAATTTAGAATGAATCAACCTCTGCTCCAAACCCTGTCAGAGCAAAAATGAAAGTTTAGAGTTGTCACACCACGTTTGCTCAGCACCTCCCTTCCCCAGTAATTTTGCCATCTTTTGTCATCACTCGTTCCAGTTCACTCTGCTAGTCACATGGGTCTCATTGCTGGCTCTTAGTTATATCCAGTATGCTTCTATCTGAGGGCCTTTTGTAATGACTTCTTAAAATATCCACATGGCTTACTTCCTCAGTTTTTTTAGGGTCACCTTATTTGGAAAAACCTTTCCTGACCATTTTGTGCTTAACATTAATTTTCTACCTCTCAAAGCCTTGTGCTCCTTTTCCTTGTACTACTATTTGATATGTCTTGTACTGTCCAGTATGGTAGCCACTAATCACTATGGCCATTGACTACTTGAAATATTGTTATTCTAGTCAAAGAATAATTTTTTTTTTGTCGGTCATGGGGCCTGAACTCAGCTCAAGGCTAGCGCTCTACCACTTGAGCCATAGCACTACTTCTGGCTTTTTCTGCTTATGTGGTGCTGAGGAATTGAACCCAGGGCTTCATGCATGCAAAGCAAGCACTCTACCATTGAGCCACCTTCCCAGCCCAAGGAGTAAATTTTATATATTTAGTTTCAGCTAATTTAAATTAAAAAAATTTATACTCAGTTACTGGGAAAGTTTTAAGTATACTTGGAATGGTCTGGCATGTGAATCCATTTTTTCAACTATAAAATTTTATGAAATCTAAATTCAGATCAAGTATTTCTGGTGAAAGGTTCGCATCCAAGTTGAGATTTGCTATGGGTGTGAAATGCACAGTACATTCCAGACTTAGTAAGGATGTAATAATTTTCCAGTAATTATTTATACTGGCAGCATATTGAAATGATAATTTTAGAGGAACGTAAAACAGTAAACTATATTGTTAAAATTTAATTTTACCTTATTAACATTTTATAGTTTAATAAAGCTACTAGAATTTTTTATTTTTTGCCAGTCCTGATGCTGGAACTCAAGGCCTGGGTACTGTCCCTAAGCTTCTTTTGCTCAAAGCTAGCACTCTACCACTTGAGCCATAGCATAGCACCACTTCCAGCTTTTTCTGTTTATGTGGTACTGAGGAATCGAACCCATGGCTTCATAAATGCTAGGCAAACACTCTACCACTAAGCCACATCCCCAGCCCACTACTAGAAATATTTATATGTGACTAACATATTTCTGATGGAAAGAAGTATTCTACACTTACTTTTAGAGTTATTTAGTTTAATTCTGCAATAGAATGTGTCACGTTGGCAAGGACTTAATCCATTTTGTTTCTTGCCCAAGCAATAGGTATCCAATCAATTTTAAGGAGTAAAAGGATAAATATGAATGAGTTCCTTTTAAAAGCCACTATGAATAAAAATTTAAGGGAAAACAAAATTTTTATATAGGATGTAAAACATATTAATATGTATCAAATGTCTTGAAAATAAGATCTATATACAAAAAAAGCCAAAGATATGGAGGGAAAGAACAAAATCCTGATGACTAATAAATGTATGAACAAATTGCTAATTTTTAGTAAATCCAATTTGAATGAGTTATCCTGTGTCTGTGAAACTCAAGAATAAGGAAAGAAGGCAACTTTGTAGTCTATTATCACCAACTTTAATTATTTTTCACCTAATTTTTCTCTATCTTGGAATTTACTTTTAATGTAATCACAGACAGGCACAAGGATTTTTCTGTAGTTTCACTGTGGCTTCATTTCTAACACCACAATCAGTCCGACCTAAGCTATAAACACAGAAAAAGAAATCAGCAGTCAGGTTGTAAACCCTAGAGAGGGAAAGGTACAAGACTGTAGGTCACTAAAAGCAAAATATTCTTAAAATTTGTCTTAAAGGGGCTGAGAAGTTGGCTCAGTGGTAGACCGTTTGCCTCTCATGCATGAGGCCCTGGGTCCGATTCCTTAACACACATAAGCAGAAAAAAGCCGAAGTGGCACTGTGGCTCAAGCGGTAGAGCGCTAGCCTTGAGCTGAAGAGCTGAGGGACAGTGCCCAAGCCCAGAGTTCAGGCCCCACGACTGACAAAAAAAAAAAAAAAAATTGTCTTAAAGTTTGTGTAATGAACTGAATTTTACTTTCAATTTTATTTTTACTGGTGTTTTAGAAAACTTGATATGTATGTTATTGATATGTTAATTAAAATATTTTAAACATGTACACATACATTGTATATATATATATCATCCATTTAAATGACATACAAATTCTTAATATTCAGTGTGTTTTATTACTTTCTCTTAATGGGTTTGAGGCTTAAAATGCAGACTGTTTTGTTCAAAATCTTAAAACTGGAAGGCAGTGAGATTATTAGTTTTCATTTCTGGTGTATTAGCTATTAGCTATGTAGTAGCTTCTCTCCACAATAAAAATGGGGAACTATTTTTTGGAAATAATTTTATGTAAATATATTTTTCATGCTTATTTCCTCTTCCTTGCCTTTCAGAATTACCATGAAATTATGACTCGTCATCCTGAGAATTATCAATGGGAAAACTGGAGTCTAGAAAACGTTGCCACCATTTTAGCTCATCGGTTCCCCAATAGTTATATTTGGGTGATAAAGTGCTCCCGGATGCATTTGCACAAATTCAGCTGTTATGACAACTTTGTGAAAAGCAACATGTTTGGTGCCCCAGAACATAATACTGACTTTGGAGCTTTTAAGCACCTTTATATGTTGTTAGTTAATGCTTTTAACTTAAGTCAGAATGGTTTGTTGAAGAATGTGAATGTTTGGAATAAGGACTCCAAAGCATCTGACTATAGATCAAATTCTTCTAGTAATGGTTGCAAGGTAGAAAAAGAGAGGACCTGTAAAAGATCTGATGAGTCAACCACAAGTGATGGTGAATATCCACCATCACTAAAAGGTACGTCTTTTACTTTGATTGGATTCAGTAAAGGTTGTGTTGTTTTGAATCAGTTGCTTTTTGAATTAAAAGAAGCCAAGAAAGACAAGAACATAGATGCTTTCATCAAAAGCATAAAAACAATGTATTGGTTGGATGGTGGTCATTCTGGAGGAAGCAATACTTGGGTTACATATCCAGAAGTCTTGAAAGAATTTGCACAAACAGGAATTATTGTTCACACCCATGTAACGCCTTACCAAGTACGTGATCCAATGAGATCATGGATTGGAAAAGAGCATAAGAAATTTGTTCAGATACTGGGAGATTTTGGTATGCAGGTTACTAGCCAGATTCATTTTGCAAAGGAAGCTCCTTCCATAGAGAATCACTTCAGGGTTCATGAAGTATTTTAAGACTACGAGTATATTAATGTACTTGTTCGATGGAAGAGCATGAGCACTTTGAATGTTATAAATTCATATAATGAAATATATGATGTAATTTTTGGGGTGGGAAAAGCACACATTCCTAAAATATGACTGTAATGTGTATTCCTTGTGAATGTGAGCAGTTTTAAAACTTTGGGCTAGGTTAGGATTAGTTAATTTGAGATCTATAAGGATGGTTTGTGATAATTCTGTGACAAATATGACCCCCTTAAAAATGAAAAAATTAACAATATAGTCTTGAAAGGACAACTAAAGTTGTTGGAAATAATTGACATATTGAGTAACATTCTAATTTTGATGACTTAACAGTATTTAACTACTTTGACATTCATGGATCTATTCTTGATGTGTTACCGAGTATTGTTTTTTTCCTAGTTGAAGTATTTTATTTACAAATGTCCAAGAACATGCAGTAGTATAAGATTGGTTTAAAAACCTAACACTTAAGTACTGTGGCTTAATTTTTGTCAGTTGTTAATTGATTGTTCTTGGGTTTCTTGAAACTTGGCCATAAGCCAGTTTAAAAAAAATTAGTTGGACTATAATTATATAGGGTGAATAAAAACACACTCAGAGCTATGCTGCTGTCTTTGTAAGAGGCCAACATAGGTAAAATAAATACATACTGATTTGTTAGTGCTCTACTGAAAAGGAGACAATTCCACAGACTTAAAACAGTTTCTTTAGAAGCATGATCTTTGTCTGCCAAAAGAAAATAGCTCTCTTTGGCCAAAATGCAAAGTGACATTACTATAAGAAAAGTTACAAAAGCAAAGTTTGGAGAGACAAATGATTTCATGTTGGCTCAAAAACTGAATTTGTTTAACGCTGCTACATAATTTGGGTGAAGTTTCCTTCTGCCCGTTTTTTTCTTGACCTAGATAAGTACATTTTGAAAAACCAAGATCTAATGGATTCCAACCAACCTTGAAACATAACTATAGGATTATAAAAAGTGATCAGTTACTTTTTTGCTTAATAATAATCTTGAAGGTCATGAAATAAGCAGGGAAGTAATGTGCTGCTTTAGGACTGAAAAAATAAGATTAATGTCTTAAGACCAAGAGGAACTAAATTTGGTAAAACAATATAGAAAATGCAAATTTCTTGGTTTCTTCCCAGAATTATATTTTGATGACTATAAACACATTCCAAATATTCATAGTTATGATAAAGGATCCTTTCAGACCAGATGCTACAAGAGTATCTAAACTTTTAAAGGCAAAGCAATTGTCTATCACTCCATTTTATTCATATACCTGCTCTTTTGACACCAAAAATTCCTATTGCAAAAACCAGTCACTTTGATATTTAGCACTATGATCAGGTGGCTTTTGTTAAACAAATTGTTTAATACTAGTTCATTAAATTCCCATGTATCTAATATAAAATAGCTGAGATACTGAATGGTCAAAGGACAGAGGAAGAAAAGGTTGTGATTTTCACAGGACTAATTGAAATATTAAGGTAGGACTTGTAATAGAATTCACTTGAAAAATCTGAAATATTTGTAAAAATCTGATGTTCAGCTATCCAGTCATATGAATGCGTTTTTCACTTGTTACAAATTGAATAGATACTAATTAACTGGGCCCCTAAATGTCATCACAGTAAGACAGTTACTGGAAAGTAAAAGTATTTTTCATAACGAACGTATGTTCTGAGTCCATCCATATTCAAATGTTTTCTGTTTAAATAGTTTAGATTGGTCCTATTTCCACATTTGTTTGTTAACGTAAATGTTATTGTGTCCTCTTGACTGTGCCTTTTAAATTGAGAAAATTAGTCCTACAAATAATGTGAAAATTGTTACCACCACAGCATGAATGTATAATTAAAATAGTCTACAGAAGTGTGTTTGAATGTCTTTTATCTTAGCATTGTTCATTCAGACTATTACTTGAAAGGAGACTCTTCCTCTCATCCTTGCTTTCTAAGTTTGTTTTCATTAACTTCCATGTCTTTCAAATGAACAACTTTGAAAACCTTTCCTATAAAAACATGTCAAGAAGAGCTATTCTGTTTCATTTAAGAGCCTTTTAAACAAGAAACACTTCATATAATTTTTTTATTTCTACTTTTTATACTTCATTAGGGATAAAATATAACTAGACCTGGTTGGTGACTCAGGCTCCCTTTTACAAAGGTACAAGGGACATGGCAGCAGTCACACCAGTTAATAAAGACAGGCAGTCACTTAGGATGCTCACTTTAGTGTCCACTTATTTAAGATATCCAAAGTAGTCACTACAGTACAGTTCCAACTCTACACTGCCTGCCAAGTTCCTGTATTTTTCTACCCTGGTCAGATCCTTAGATTGTTTTTTGACAACTTTTATAGGTGAAAGTTACTAGTTTCTTGTCAAATGTTCACATAGCCGCTTCAAAAGGATGACAGAAACAAAAGGCTGTTCACTTTTTTTCCCTTGTTTTGATATTTCATCAAAGTAAGTATTGAATAGAACTCCAGTGTATTCATGTAACAAGACAAACACTGTTAATATTCATGAAAAGCTAACAATGAAGAACTGAAACATGGCTCTAGTGGCATATTGCCTGCCAGTGTGAGGCCTTAATATACTTTAAAATGTAAAATATTTTTAAAACAGACCTTTAGCTATCCAGTTACGTGAAAGCTTAAATTTTAATTTATAAGTTGAGTGGATATTAAGAATTCACTGGGTCCCTAAGAGTGCTATCACATCACAGACTGAAAAGTAAAAATATTTATTTTCTAAGTGAAAACGTTCTAAAGTTAATGCATATTCAAATGTTTTAATAGTTCCGATTGGTCAGTCATGTTTCCCATATTTGTTTAAAAATGTTAATGTAAATGTTGGTACTGAAAAAAAAACTCAGATTAAAAATGAAAAGCTAACAACTACACTATTTTTAAAGTGTATTTAAGAGGATAATATGACCAAAAATTCAAGTAATTCATAACTGCAGTTTTGTCTTCCTACCTAGTGATTCAGACACTTCTCATCGGCAACACCATCGGTGGTTTGTGTATCCTTACAAAACTGTATGTAAATAAGTTTTCAGAGCATACTTTGATTTTAAGCAAATAACAGTGCATAGCTTCAAGCTTTTTATGGAATTACAGTGGACAAGTTTTATGCCAGTACATATACTTCTTCCTCATTCTTGGCTAGTTTTTGTTTTTGTATTCCCATGTACTCATTCATTTTATTTTGAATCTTTGTCTATATATTAGGAAAGAAAATCCCTCCTGTATTTATTCAGAAGGGAAAGTAAATCACTAATACAGGCATCACTGTAAATCCAATTTCAATCACAATCATCTCAATCTGGGTTAACTATATTATGGAAGATTTCTTTCGGCAACAAAAGTGATTAAAAAGATTTTGAATCCACGAGATGTGCAGTTAATAATATTCACTTGCCTTTAGCACAGAAACAAAAGATTAAAACATTTTGATCTTAAGATAGACTTTAACATAATTAAGAATTATGACCAGGAAAATAATTTTAAAACTTCCCAAAAGATTCATGTCTAGCTTTCTAAATAGAATATCCCAAGAGAATCTACCTCAAATATCTTAGTAAAGGAATATAATGAAATAGAATTACTAGCACCAGTCATCAACTATGTGTATACCCTTAACTATATATGTCTACTGTTTTGTAGCAACCCTGTGATATATGAATTGTGTTTTAAGGAAAACATGCTTCATAAGTTGTTTAATTTACTTACGACCTAGTTTGATTCCCACTAGACAAATGAAAATCTTCAGTGGACCAATTCTGTTTTACTTCCAAGTTTTCTACATGACTTTTAGATTTATACTTTGCACTGTTTTTCTTACTGGTTAAGGAAAAAAAACCAAGTTTATTAAAGCTTACTATAAAGCAAAGAAAAAGGGTATTGTCTTTTTCCTTCCTGAAGTAAAAGGATCACTGAAGTTCTTATAAGAATTAGATTTTTCCACCTCTATTGATCTCAGTAACTTAGCACCTCTTAAGAAAAGATTCTCAGGAAAGGTAGAATGTTTTATATGCTTTTTCCTGTTTGTGTATTATTTTTTATTATTTTTTATGCCTGAAACTAATTCATCTCTAAATACAGAACATGAGTAAATGGATTATCTTCAGTAGAGAAAATTATTTATTCCATAATTCAGATGTACCAAGTCAATGTATATAACTTTAGATGGGAACATTTGTATTCAGTAAATATATTTGGTCTTTACTGACTGCAACACAAAACAATAATATATACAATGGGGTTCGTTGTCTTCAAAGACAATACTAAGATCTCTCTTGAAACAGTATTTCATTTTTTCCTTTAATGGTATTGGAGGTTGAACTCTTAAGGGCTTTTCATATAGTATTTTTTTTTATAAAAGGAAAAAGGTAGGTGAAAATTTAGCAGAGAGAGCTTCAAACATTCAAAACAAACAAGAAAAACAGATTTACCATAGGTTGACAAGAAGAAACATGATCAGATCAGATTAACCATGCTATGGATAAGTCAGAGAAAGTCATCTAAACACTATAACCAATCAATCTTGTGATTCTTAGTCCTGGTTGACAAGAAGAAACATGATCAGATTAACCATGCTATGGATAAGTCAGAGAAAGTCATCTAAACACTATAACCAATCAATCTTGTGATTCTTAGTCCTGGTTGACAAGAAGAAACATGATCAGATTAACCATGCTATGGATAAGTCAGAGAAAGTCATCTAAACACTATAACCAATCAATCTTGTGATTCTTAGTCCTGGTTATGCACCAAAACATCCTGCAGGGTTTATTAGGTACCTAACCCAAACCCCAAATGTAATGATTCAAAAAATCTACAAACAAGTTGACACCTAGGCATCTTAACCTAAAAAAAATGTCTCAAAGAGTTTGATTACAGCAACAAATGTAGGAGACAACATCCTTAGTTTCTACCTTTTTTTTTCTACCTTTTTTCCTTTCTTAACAGGACTTTGATTTTAAAAATTAAACACTTTGGCTCTATCAAAGGAAGATTCTTTCTCCCAGCTCTGATAGGCCTAACTGACCTACGTATTATTTCATACCCTTTGCCAAAGACTGGAGCAAGGATATATGAATCCAAGCCCATTAGAGCACCAAGATCCCAGGGTCTGGTAGATTATTCTGGGACAACTTCAGATTGACAGGGCCCCTGAAATCCAGCCAGACTCTTCTGGTGCATGTAAATGAAGATGCACAAGGCCCCAACTGCTACTGGCAACCATCCCATGACCACAAGGGTAGCCAGTCTCAGGCTGATGCCAGTGCTGTGGCTGAAAAGCAAGCAAGGGTAAACAACAAAAGTTTTTGGTAACATTACTGAATCACTGGATCAGAAATAATGAAACCTATTTGAACAGAAGATTTCATGGAACATGACTCAATATAGAGTCTTATTGTTTGAGTGGTACTTCTATTATTTGCATCTGCAAAGCTACAGTGATTCTACTACAATGTTATTTAAACTTCTAACAGTTTGTATCAAGTAGAAGCAATACACCTTCCCTTTATACTTAATCTGAGATTTCTTTCCTTTTTTAAGAATAAGTATTTTTAAAATTTATTAATATTTTTCCAGTATTCCACCTAAATCTTACTGAAATGTTTATTTCACCACATTCACTTCATTTTTTTTTTTTTTATTCAAAGTTCTTGCTGTAGGCTTTGTCTTGAATCTGTAAGACCATTTGCCGCGCATAGAAGTCCCTGTATTCCTCTGGCAATTCAGCCAGTGTTTTTAAGGCTCTGTCCAAGATCTGTGCGGCTCTTGATGCTGCAACAGGGTCTTTGTTGCCATAGGTATCTGTTTTATCATAGCATTCAGATGGAAGGTGCTTCCAAAAGACATTCACTCCCACTCCAAACTCTTCAGAAATCACATTATGGAACCATAAAGCTGGAGAAAGTTTTAAAAAACAAGTTAAAAATAAAACCTACAGTTGAAAAAAAAAACTAAAATGTCAGTGAAATATCACGAATTGCATATAGCCAATCTAAGAAATAATTCTTTAACCAGATCCCTTCCTTAGCACACTCTCAGCGTTTAACAGAATCATTTTAACTTTTATGAATTGCCAACCAATTTAAACTGTCAATAGCATAAATCCTTACTTTAAAAAACCTTTAGGAATAGTAATTTTTTTTCTTTTAACTTGAACAACATAATAAAGTTGTATTTGTTTTGAAGTTCTTTCATTTGAGGCATGTACTTGTTTATGCTTCCTGTGTCAAAACCACATCAAAAATGTATACTTTTTATGTACACAGAACATTTCAATTATTTGAGGAGTATGTTTGACCTATTCTGATTCAGCATAGTACTTTTGTTTGTAAAGACTTCCTGTTCAAGCTGCAATTTGCTTTTCTGACTGTAAGTGTGCATTCACTGTAGCTCCCTTGGTTTTGTGTTTCTAATGCAATCACATCTATCCTATGTTCCTTTCAGCTCCTTAACATTAAGTATATAAAACTTCAACATACATTTTGGTAATGGAAATGTTTCAAGTTTATCATATACCTAATTATTTTTTATTTTCACTAGGAAGTTTACTTTGTTTTCAGTTGAGTATAAACATTTGTAAAATGTAAGTGCTGGAAGAATATTAAGGTAACACCACAGTATAACAGATGGAGGACTAATTATGTCAAAAGTGTTTAATCTTGTGAAAGGAAGATTTAAACTTCACAAGCTTATTCTAAGATTACTTGAGGAAAAATGAAAGACTAAAAATACCTTGATTTGCAAAAATAGTCTTCAGTTTTAATCTTAACTCCACTGTTTAAGAATTCTTTTCCCCTGGTTCAGGTTAATAGGTAGAATAAAATCTAACTATTTTGATAAATCCAAATATTAATCTTTTGCTTTTGTTTGGAAATAAAAATTCTTAGAATTCCTGTTTTATCTTCCTTTTTTCATAAAAAGCTGTATATAAGATGAAACTACTGAGTATCCCTTAACCATGTTGAAAATATATAAAATCCAAAAATTTAAATATATAAAACAGCAATATACTTAAGACCAAAGTAGTGGTTGTTTGCAATGAACACAAGAAATAAACGAATCTATCAAGTTTTTATTAGGCCTTTAGGGATAGAAAGATTAACAAACACATAGTTCCTTTTCCTCAATTTATAATATAGAACCAGAGTAGAACTCCATATTTTTATTTATTAATACTTTAAAATTATCACCAAAAAGAGGTATTCATGATTACTAGCTATGGGAAATATAACTAAACAAATGGAAATTTTTGTGTATTCCTTTACTCTTTAATTACTTTTAAGTATCAATTACAGACGTTAATTATATCACTGTGGTTACTGATGTGGACATTTAAGACACATCCAAACTAATGCTTATTTCTTAAATTCCAAACATTCTATGTACAAAAAACTAATGTACCCAACAGTATCACAGCTGATATTTAATAAAATCTGTACAAAATGTCAATATTAGAATGTTAATATTAAGCAGTACTTCACTGCATAGTGATAGGGAATGCATTCTGAGGAATAACAATTTTGTCATTGTGGGATTATCACAAAGTAAACTCAACATACCTAAGCCTATGGCTCCATTGTGCAAACTTGTACAGTAGGTACAATAATTATAGCACAATGGAAACTATAAACCTATCTCAATACAGAAAAGATACAATAAGTAAGTCCTAAAAGAAAAGATACACTGCATAGGGCACCTACCATGGGAACTGGTGAGTAATATGAAGGCCCCAAAGTAACTATACACTATTATTCTCCCTTTCCTGTCTCTTCTTCTTTTTCCTTTTCATTTCCCTTTCCTCTCTTCTTTCCCTGTCTCTTCTTTCCTTTCTTTCCTTTCCTTCTCCTTCCCATCTTCTCTTCTGTCCCTTTTCCTCTCACCTCCCATACTTTACAATTACTGTACATTTACACTATACTAATTTCATTTAAAAATCCCTAATAATAACAATCTTCGTTTACTGTAACCTTTTTCTTTATGAACTTCTAGATTTTTTTAACTTTTTTTCTTTTTTTCTGTTTTGTCGGTCATAAGGCCTGAGCTCTGAGCCTGGGCGCTGTCCCTCAGCTTTTCAGCTCATAGCTAGTGCTCTACCACTTGAGCCACAGCCCTACTTCCAGCTTTTTCTGCTTATATGGTGCTGAGGAATCAAACCCAGGGCCTCATGCATGAAAGGCAAGCACTCTACCACTGACCACCTACCCAGCCCTTTTTTAACTTTTTGACTCACTGCAAGACTTAGTTCCAAACACTTTGTAACTATATGAATATATTTCTCTGAATCCCTTTTCTAAGCATTTTTTCTATTTTTAAAACTTACTCACTTTTTAAACATTTAGTAAAAACTAGGAAACACACACATTCACCTACACCTACACACACTTATACCTACACAGGGTGAGGATGCCTGAGTATCACTGCTCTTTCCTCCCCAGCTTTCCATCTAGAAGGTTTTCAGGGAAACAAAGAGACATCTGCTATGATAACAGCATACACAATACTTCCAAGATAACCTGTCCAAGGCTGTTTTGCAGCTGATACCAATGGCTCATGCCTGGAATCTTAGCTACTCAAGAAACTAAGCCCTAAAGGATGGCAGTTTGAAGCCATCCTGGGCAGAAAAGTTTGTAAGATTTAATTTCTTATTAAAGGGCAAAATGCTCTAGTTGGAGGCATAGCTCAAGTGGTAGAGTACCAGTTAAGATGAAGAAAGCTGAGCAAGAGCCAGAGGTTCAAATTTCAAACTCTGGCATCAACACGTGTACACAAAAATATAAGTACAAGTGAAACAACAAACACCTACTCTAATAGATGAAGAAATTATGTAGTTTATGGTCATTATCAAATACCATGTTCTATGCATAGCTCTATGACCTGCACTTTTGTGACTGGCAGCTACTAAGTTTGGCTATGCCAGCATCACAAGCTTATGAGCAATGTTTTGTGCGATGTTATGATGGCTTATGTGATACAAAGTTTTCAGTTCCATTATAATCTTATGAGAATACTGTTATGTGATCTGTCATTGACTATCACTGTTAATATAAGGCACAACTGTAATAAGTTGCTCTTGAGAAATAAGACAATCTTATGTTTGCCTAAGTATACTTTAAACACATACATGAACAAAATCATGTATAAAAATGATCTAGCACTTTTGTATTAAGAAAATCACATAAAAGATTAGTGATAGAATACATATTTTATAAACACATTTATAAGATGAAGCCTCATTTATAAATGAGGTCTAAAAATCTTACCAGGAATGAATAACACATCACCAGCTTCAAGGGAACATTCATACCTTCTAGCCTTGGAAAACAGTGGGTATTTAGCCAAGTCTGGGTTATCTATATTCAATACTTTAGATTTAGAACCTAAGGAATTATAAAAACACAAAAAAAGTCTGAGCATTAAAAAAATCATAAACTTGAAAATTTTGTTCAATTTGCTCATATTGTGAGAACAACTGTTATTCTCCTGAGATCCAAGACAGTTTTCAATAACCCACTCTGAGGTTCTGGGTGACCTTTGACACCCATGTAATATAATTAAAGTAACCTGAAAATCTCACTCTCCACATAGTCCACATATATGCATATATATATATATATATATATATACACACACACACACACACACACACACACACGCACACACAGACACACAGTCACACACAGACACACACACACACACATCAATGAAAAACACTTTTTATCAGGAGAAAGTGGTCTAAGATGTTGCTCCCTATGTGAATAAACAGTCATCAAAAGGAGTAACTGAGCGGGGTGATGATGGTCCATGCCTATCATCCCAGATACTCAGGAAGCTGTGATCTGAGGAAAGTGAGGAAGGTCCCTGAGATTCTTATCTCTGGAAACCACCAAAAATGCCAGAAGTGGAGCTGTGGCTCAAGTGGTAGAATGTCAGCCTTGAGCAAAAAAGCTTAGGGACAATGCCCAGGCCCTGAGTTCAAGCCCAGGACTGGCACCAAGAAAAAAAAAAATCCAATAATAGTAATAATATCAATAATGATTAACTGTAACTGAATAGGATTTAGAAAGAAACTTTAAAAAGGCGTACCTGATAAATATAAATACTGGGCATCTCGAGGACTGAATAATACAACACGTTTTTTCCCTGTCACTTGTATTAAGAAGTTATCCATTACCTAAAGACCAATAAAAGTATATGAGTTAGCAGTATCTAAAATTCAGATTAACAACCAATAATACTCTAGTTAACTGTAACCCTTTCCCATTTTTAAGACATCATCTCACTATGTTTCTGACATTGGCCTTGAACTCGAACTTTTATCTCAGCCTTTTGAGTACCTGGGATTATAAATATGTACCACTGTGCTCAACTTATTCTTTTATAAAACTTATTCTTTTATAAAACTTAACAATACCTAAAATTACCAGCTATGTTCTAATTTAATAATGAGAACATCTGTAGTCCACAAACAATAATTACTTTATTAGAGACATTTTTGTAATACTTCCTTAAAAAGGGAAGAACTATAAGTGTTTTGCTCTACCTAATGAAATAAGGACAGTTAAGGTTTCTTGAGGTTCTTCATTAATACATACTTACATATTTAGATGTGACTATCTAAAAACACAAGACCAACTCTAGACAACAGACTGAAAACATTCGTCCAGTAACTGTAACCCTCTGTATAGTATCTTTACAATAAAAAAAAAAAAATACGTCCAGCCTCTGCTAAATTCTTAATTCTATGCCAATCATAATTTAATTATAGATATTGATTATAAAATTATTTGTATAGGAAGATCATCAGACAATATAATTTGTAATGGATTAATCTTAACTTTTCCTGTATATGCAAGGGTACAAGTTCTTAGTACAGATTGTGAAAAATGTTAAAAGGAGAAGCCATATTACTGAGCTAAAGAATTAAGATATACAATGGACAAGATATGATTATCCATATATCATTACATCTGTTAGCTCTGACCTTTACTTATATAAACTTATATAAACTATAGTTACATAACTACAACTAGTGTTCCTTTTAAAGAAAAGCTTTATATCTTATTTTCTATTGTAACTCAAGGTAAAAGGGAAACTACTTAAAATTTAAAACTCAGTCATAAAATATAGCCTAAGATACACAAATCACATCATTTCCTCACCCTACCATTCATGTAAAACCTAAAAAAGTAAAATGCCTCTCTTATTTAATTATAGTACTGTAATAATAAAATTCTCCTCAGGTCTTTAAATAAATTAGAAAATAAATACATACAACATATATAAAAACCAAGAGTGTGATTCAGAATGTTAAAAAATTACTTTTACTGGGGGAGGTGTCAGCACACCTTTTAATCCCAGCACCTAGAAAGCTGAAGCAGGAGGATGACAAGTTCCAGGCCAGTCTGGGCTACACAGTAACTTGTCTCAAAAGAACAAATATTACAATTTTGAAAAAACATTTTATCTTTGAAAATCTGTTAAAATTATTTAGCTTCCTATTTATCTCTCAACACTAACCTATACACAATAATATTTACATCTACATATATTTAAGCTAATATAACCCATAATCAAGATGGTAATTCTACACATTCTGCTGCTCTACAAAGACAGTAGAATTTGATGTTTGCAAGACTGCCAAATATCCTCAAATTCTTCAAATTGGAAATAGTTTTCCATATGCTTCTGCCTTTCTCCTAAGCAACATAACTGAGGGTGGCCAGAGTCCTATGTATCACTTATACATGCTCTTATCATAAGCAAACACTCAACATAATTTTCCCTCTTCCTTCTGTAGTTATTTATCATAAGCCAGAAACAACCACTTCATAAAATTCATATGATGATAAATCAAGAACAAGATTACAGAGGAATGTAAATGTGAGAAATGAAGTAGGCTTTGCCATTAGCCAAATAATTCACTTGCCTATTGCTGCTTTATTCAGTGTTTTTTAAAAACTGTTTAAACAAACTACATATAAAAGAGTTTCAAAGCAGCTTATTAAATTGAAACCATGAATGTTAAATCCACAAACACTAAGGATCTACAGAAGATTCAGAGTTCTCATTTATGTAGCCTACATCATAGTGAGTCCAAAGTTGTAATCCAGGTGAACTAATTCGAAAAACGCTGGAAAAGAACTGTTCCTCTCTGAAGAATTTTGGAAACTTAATATCTCCTTCTAATGAAGGAAACTGCTTCCGGATATCTGCAACATCCTATTTGAACAGATATAAAAATAAATAATTAGATAAAACATAAGATGCAAAAAGAATTTCAATACATACAATATTAGCATAATGCTTACTCTACCTATGGCTGCCAGACTACATAATATTAAGGAAGAAAGGGCAATATTTGTTGAGTACTTTAAGATATTCTGTGACCACTTAAGAACACAGATCTTTCCAATAAAGGAATAGACAAAAATCAGAGGCAACAGTAACCCTGATAATCTCAATACACTTCATTAACAGAAAGTTTTTCCCTACTTTAAGCAAGATTTAAACAATTGTCAACTACTCTAAAGCTTAGATAGTGAATGGTTTAGGATTTTTTCTTTTTTAATTTTTTTTTTTTTTTGTGGGGGTCCCTGTCCTGGGGCTTGAACTCTGGCACTGGGCACTGCCCTTGAGCTGCTTTTGCTCAAGACTAATACTCTAATACTTGAGCCCCAGCTCTACTTTTGGCTTTTTTGGCATTGTGGAGGTAAGAGTCTCAAGGACTTTCCTGCCCGGGCTGACTTTGAATCGTGATCCTCAGACTTCAGCTTTCTGAGTAGGTAGGATTACAGGTGTGAGCCCAGAACCTAGCATCATTTAGGATTTTTATAATTATTGTTTTGGAATATTACTATATGAATGAACATCTAAATGTATATTACATATATATATATCCCACTATATATGTTACATATTACATATATATGGGATTTCTTATGCATTGTATTACAAATATTGATGCTATGTGGGATTATATATATATGTATATATATGGGATTTATGATTATATACAAATTAAATGACTTAAACACTAAGACTCTATAGTCCTTTATGAGACTAAGTACTTACTTTTCAATAATCTCACTTCTTATAGAGGGGCACAAATCATTAAGAAAAGGAGAGGAGGAAACAGGTGAGGTACCAGTCAGTAAGTATAAAACATTACATTGTAAGTATACTCATTTAGTTTTTAACTTCTTGTTTTAAATACACATTCTTACCTTTCTAGGATCTTCTCCAAGTGACCGTAAATAGTATTTCTCATCCTTAAAAGAAAAATAATATTAGCATTATTTAAATAACATTTAAATGAATGTTAAAAAATCCATTTAAAAATATTAAGAAAGAAGAAATAAAATCTTAAATCTGACCTGCTAAAAGTCCTTTTCTAACTAGTACAGTTATTTTGTCCTTTCCACTAATGCTCTCTGGTGGCCATGAGAAGAAATGTCTCTAAATGTTGCCTACTGTAGACTTGTTCCACAAAACATTAAGGAAAATAAAGTCTAAAGGCAAAAACACACATACCTACATCGAAAGCCATGATTAATTTAGCCTTATAGTTCAAATTATTGAGTCACTTTTAACAATGTCTTAACACTTAATAAAATGACTCCTTTTGGCCAACAATATACTTCTTAGGTATAAAAAAAGATACAGTTTTTAACAATTTTTTAAATAACTTTAGAACACTATCAGGTCAGCCTATCCTCAACAAAATAATTCTCAAGCCAAATCCTTAAGTCAGCTCATGTATGAATTAGAAATATATCATTTCAAGTCAGTAAAATTAAAATAAACACTCTTAAAAAGTATCATGTGTACGTGACTGAGTAGCTAACAAGAGAACTGGTTTCTAGCACTGCAAAAATCAAAAGCACCCACTGTTGCCTGAACGTGCTTGAGAATTAGAGAACTGGCATATCAAAGACAGAATTCTCCTCTTTGAAACCAGTATGGACTGTCTTAAACTGCAAAGTGTTTTACCTTAAAACATAATTCTGTTATCATAAACTTTATTGAACTCTCAACTCTTTTTTCATGTAGATTCTGCGAGTTTATTCCTTGCTAAAAATAGTCCCTGATAGTATACTGTCAGCTTTAATGTTTCAGGATTTAAAAAAACACGTCTGTGTAGCAGATAGAGATGAACTGCTCAGATTCCCTTTCATGAATGGACCCATTGCTTAATTGAAGTGTGTGATTAACTTGGGGGTGCGAGTTGTTCACTGTTCACTTTGAGTTCACCTTAGCATTTGAACCAAGAAAAGTCAAACTAAATAGTGAAAAGGGCATAGCCATTGCCACCCAAGGAGAACTACTCTACTGAGTCTACTCAGAGATCCACAGTGAGCTGAAAGGACTGTCAGGTGTGCACCTGTGTCTCATGGATTCCCCTGCATAATTCTGCTTCCTGCTCCTTTCTTATACAGGCAATACTCCCAGATATACATTTCCAGATGACTACAGTGACAATCCATGTATATCTTATCTGCATATTTGTATAATTTTTAGGTTTAATCCTATATCCAGCCTATATTTCTTTTTTTTCCCTTTGTTCTTTTTGGTCTATTTCGTTTTTTGAGACAAGGTCTCATTATGCAGCCCAAGCTAGACTAGAACCTCCTACCTAGGTTTTCAAATGCTGGGATTATTGGCATGTACTACTACTTGCTTGCTTGTTTATTTAGTCTGTCCCAATTATTTATTTATTTATTTAGTGCTTGTCCTGAGGCTTGAACTCAGGGCCTGGGTTCAGCTCCTTGAGCTTTTTTACCCTAGGCTAACAGTCTACCACTTGAACCACAACTCCACGTCTGGCTTTTTGGTGGTTAACTAGAGATAAAGAGTCTCACAGACTTTCTTGCCTGGGTTGGCTTCGAATCACAACACTCAAATCTCTGCCTTCTGGGTAGCTAGGATTACAGACATGAGCCAGCTGCTTTCTAATTTTAAATTTTTGGTGGTGGGGGGGCTCAAACCCAAGTCCTGGCACATGCTATACAAAAGTGCTTTATCACTGAGCTAGGTCTTCTTTTCTACTCTGCCACTCATTACTCTCAAAGAGGAAAGTTCCTAAAGGCAACTACATAGATATTCAAAGCATGGCTATGGAGGTTAAAAGAACAGTTCTCAGGTAAACCTCATGAGAATCAGTTTTAAAAGAAATTACACTGCAGACCCCCAAAGTTTGTAAGGTTCTTGGTAGTAATCAAGTATAACCACTGGCTGACCAATCTGCACAGCTGGTTCAAGTACAGATAATGCTTCATTCCAGGCTTTAGTTTAGTTTGAAATATGGTTTTGAAATAACACAGTGAATCTGAAAAAAGACATAAGTAAACTTCAATGCCATATCTCTATATGCTTAAACTGAATTGTTTAAAGCTGGACTATAATATAAAAATTCTTGTAATTCAATCTTGAATCAATATTACAGCAAATACTCAAAAATTAACAGCTAACAATAAAATATAGAAAAAGATTAAAGAATGAAAATTTCCATTAGTATTTAATTTTGGCATATTGAACAAAAATATTTTCAAAAGAAGTAGCATTAATAACACTTAATGTTTCTATGTGTCAGACACACTGCTAAGTATTTTACAAATTTTATGCATATTTTACAAATTTAATGCAGTTAATGCTCACAAAACCTATATCATATACTATTATTGTCTCCAATTCATATTGTCTCCAATATGGCCAAAGTGTGAGAGCTAGTAAATAGTAGAGCTAGATTCTATATATCAAACCAAATCTTAAGAATGGCTATCATAGACTAATTCTTGAATATGCAAAGATTTTTTTATAAGAAAATCCGCTTATAATATAGATATTAATGCTTTCTGGAAAAATGTATAAGCAGCTAGATATGATGGCTCATGCCTATAATCCTAGCTACTCGAGAGACTGAACTGGAAGGATTACAGTTTAAAGTCAGCCCAAGAAAAAAAGTACACAAGACTCCATCCCAACCAATAAAACACTAAGTATGGAGATATGTGCTATAATACCACCTACACAGGAATGGTAAATAGGAAGATCACAGTCCAGGCCAGCCTAGACAAAATGTGAGACCCTATTTGAAAAATAACTAAAGCAAAAAGGGCTGGGGATATGGCTCAAATGGTAGAACTCCTGCTTAGCAAGTACAAAGCCCAGAGTTCAAATCCCAGTACTAACAATAACAAAAAAGCTAAAGTGTTACCTCTGAAATGAAGAATTCATCATGCTTATCTTCAGCGGCCCTCTGAACTAACTTGTCAAAAGGTAAAGTTCTGAAATAAACATAAAAGAATTGTTAGATTTGGTCATTGTGGATCAACTAGTAATAATATAGTCATTATACATACAGACTCATTGCAGTGTGGTATCATCTGCGTTACAATACTGATAGCTTTTATTATGACCATATTATGTAGAATTCTCAGTTTTTAAAGTTCATTTAAATAGTATGCCTATTTGACCTAAATTATGTGAAATTTTAAAATTAAAGAATTTTAGATTAATGTTATAGATGGATCACTATAGGTCAATAAATATGCTTCTATCCTGTCACTGACGGAAAAAAAATTGCTAAGGCATCTGATTACCTTTGGAATTACACAAAATTCTAGGCTCTGCTACCTGTTTTCGAGTGTCATAAAGCAAATCATGTGATGAATTGAGTCTCTAGTGTTACACTGGAAAGGAAGTAGGCAAATGTGGTCCAATGAAGCCAAACACCAGCCCTATATTCCTACCTTCTGGCACCATTCCAGAACACTGCACTCGTGTTGTACCCTTTGTTGGTGTTAAGGCTTCTGAAAATAGCTCAAGAATTCAAGTGAAGTCATTAATTTTTAATGTCAAATTTCTGTTTCAAAGCCTATTTCCATCTTGGGAAACAGAGTTTCCTTTACATCATATTCTAGAGAGTTATCTTTTCTCCAGTTCTTGTCCCATCTTTTCATCTTTCTAGACTCAGAAGAGATGAAGAGATCAACATATCAGTAACACAAGGATATCCTCCAAAGCTTTTCCTCTGCTCCTTGACTGCACACCTGCCCTCAAATATGATTAAAGAGCTGTAATTTTTGTCTTATTAGAAAACTGAACTTTGTACAGGGGAGATGGGAAGCAGATGGTCTTTTATGAGATGACCTGAGACTGGCTTACTTTCTCCTGGCACTGGGTAGATAAATGTGATACTAGGCAACACTGTTCACAGTAAAAATCCTTTTTGGTTAGTGAACTATGTCTGCACAAGAAGTTATGTGAGTGGCCTAAAAGTATCAAGAGCGGGGAAGGTAGTTGTGGAGGTGGGAAGGAAGGGATGGCAAGGGGAAAACAAAGGAGGAGGCAACAATGCTCAATAGGAAATGTATTCATTACCTTGCTCATATAACTGCAACCCCTCTCCAGCATTTTTACAATAAAAAACATACTACAAAAAATATCAAGAGGATTATTAGGACTAAATATAAAAGGCAGAGAATGTAGCTTTCATGTATGCTATGTAACTCCAACTGTGATATATTCCTTGGAGAAACCTAGCTGTGTTCATGGACTATTTTTTTGGCAGGGGTAGGGGAAGTCAGTGGTGGAGCTTGAACTCAGGGCCTGGGTTCTGTCCCTTGGTTCTTTTTGCTCAAGGCTAGGGCCCTATCACTTTGAGCCACAATGCTACTTCCAGTTTTCTGGTGGTTAATTGGAGATAAGAGTCTCACTGACTTTACTGTCTGGGCTAGCTTCAAACAGTGACCCTCAGATCTCAACCTCCTGAGTATCAGCAAGGATTACAAGCATGAGCCAGAAGCACCCAGCTCATGGGTTATTGATTGATTTTGGGGGAACATGTTTTTTTATCTAAACTCTCATATATTTCAGAACCACCTTCATAATCTTGTCCCTTTACAACTCAGTCATCAACTGGTAAACCAATAAATGGCTCTTGGGCTTATACAAAGACTCCTACTAAAACTATCCTGCTCATATACTACTTCCTGCCTTGTATTCTTCTGAAAAGTTAAGTGAATCTGATCAAGGTTCTGGACTAATGGGCCCTTGAGTGTGAATGTCCATCTGCACCAGAAGGTACTGCTGGTAATTAGGGAAAGCAAGCGCTGCAGGCATAGAAAAGTGGAGTCTACAATCCATATACACCAATGCAAAGAGCCACGTTTCCTACTCTAGTTTCTCACAAATTATATCAATAAAGTTACTTAACATCATCCTACTCAATATTTTCCTTCTCAGGCATCACTATGTACAACCTTCTTTCCTACCAAAGAATCTTTGAAGAGTTTGGGCCAGAAGGAAGCCTTATATATGGCCCAGAACTACAAGTATAATTGGTGTAACAGGTTTATCTTAGTAGGGAGAAGTGTCCCAAAACCTTTACAGAAAACAGGGCAGAATATTAAGGCTGCACAAACAAAGTAGAGCAGGCCAAAGAAGCAGAATTGCGATGTTGCCAGAAATCTCCCCGTAAGTAGTAGTACCATCATAGCTTCTACGAATCACTGGTCCCCATGGAGGGCAGGAAATGAAGAATATAAGCTGGGAAGTTTGTTTTTTTTAATTTAATTTAATTTTATTTGTGAACATACTGTACAGAGGAGTTACAGTTACATGGGCAGGATAATGCGTACATTTCTTACCAAGCATTGCAGCCTCCTCCTTTGTTTATCCTTCACATCCCTTCCCAGCCTCCCCCCTCCCCCCCTAATCCCAATCCTTCTCCGTCCCCCCTCCCCCCCCCCCCCCCCCCCCCCGCACCAACGTTGTAAAGCTCGTTTTGGACATGACAACTTGTACTTCTCATTGTTGCAACAGGTCCACCTGTATCCTTAAACAACTGGTTTTTCCCCATCTCCTCCACAAGTTATACTGACATCAAATATAGTGAAAGCAGGGGTTATACTGTGGAGGAGGGACATACAAAGCAACAAAGAGATAATCTTATAAATGTGTTAGAAACACATGCATGAAAGAAAAAAAACATTAAAGTACACATCTAAGGGTTCATTTTCCTGACATCACATTATCTGACCTTTTCCGCTTGACTCATACATATACTAGATATTACAAATAAGGGAAACCATGGGACCTACGTTTCTTTGGGCCTGGCTTACTTCACTTAATATAATTTTTTCCAAGTTTTTCCATTTCCTAACAAATGGGGCAATGTCATTCTTTCTGATGGAGGCATAGAATTCCATTGTGTATATATACCACATTTTCTTGATCCATTCATCTACTGAGGGGCATCTGGGTTGGTTCCATATCTTAGCTATGGTAAATAATGCTGCAATAAACATAGTTGTGCTGGTAGCTTTAGTGTGGTCTTGTTTGTAAACATTAGGGTAAATGCCCAAAAGTGGGATTGCTGGGTCATTGGGGAGCTCTATGTGGAGTCTTTTGAGGAACCTCCATACTGCTTTCCAAAGTGGTTGAACAAGTTTACATTCCCACCAACAATGAAGTAAGGTTCCTTTCTGTCCACATCCCCTCCAGCATCTGTTGTTGTTAGAGTTCTTGATTTTTGCCGTTCTAACTGGAGTGAGGTGATATCTCAATGTTGTTTTGATTTGCATTTCTTTTATGGCTAGGGATGTTGAACATTTCTTCATGTGTCTATTGGCCATCCTTCTTTCTTCTTCAGAGAAGCTTCTCTTTAAGTCTTTCGCCCACTTACTTATTGGGCAGTTGTTTCTTTGAGGATTTGTTGTTGGGTGGTTTAATTTTTTGAGTTCCAAGTATATTTTAGATATGAGACCCTTGTCCGTTGTATGGCTAGTAAAGATCTTCTCCCAGTCCATGGGCTTTCTATTGATCTTGCTAGCTATGTCATTTGCCCTGCAGAAGTTCTGCAACCTTATACAATCCCATTTGTCCAACCTTTCTTTGATTTGTTGTGTTTCCGGGTCTCTATTCAGAAAATTTCGGCCTGAGCCAAGGAGACCCAGGGTTTCTCCTATTCCATCCTGTAATGTTTTCAGAGTGTCTGCTTTGAGTTCAAGGTCTTTGATCCATTTGGAGTTGATTCTGGTGCAGGGTGATATATAAGGATCTAGCTTTAGTTTTCTACATGTAGTTAACCAGTTTTGCCAGCACCATTTACTGAAGAGGCTGTCTGTCTTCCATTCTATTGTTTTAGCTCCCTTATCGAAGATTAGATGGCTATAGGTCTGTAGGTTCATTTCTGGGTTTTCAATTCTATTCCATTGGTCCTGAGGTCTGTTCTTATGCCAATACCAAGCTGTTTTGATTACTATGGCTTTATAGTAGAGTTTGAAATTTGGTATTGATATTCCTCCAGCAGTGTTCTTTCCGTTGAGGAGCGTTTTTGCTATTCGGGGTCTTTTATTGTTCCATATGAATTTTTGGATTGCCTCTTCTATTTCCTTGAAGAATGAGGGTGGAATTTTGATAGGTATTGCGTTGAATTTGTAAATAGCCTTGGGAAGTATTGCCATTTTCACGATGTTAATCTTTCCAATCCAGGAGTATGGGAGGTTTTGCCATTTTTTAAGTTCTGTGTTGATTTCCTTTTTCAAGGTTTTAAAGTTTTCATCATAGAGGTCCTTCACTTCTTTAGTTAAGTTAATTCCGAGGTATTTTATTTTTTGTGGGGCTATTACAAATGGAGTTGCTTTCCTAATTTCAGCCACACTTTTCTCATTGTTGGCATACAGAAAAGTAAGCTGGGAAGTTTTGTGGCTTAAAGATTTTATGTACCCATGTACCCTCTATTAAAGTGCTATGTGACTGGATTAGCATAGACCAAAGGAGTCAGTACTGAAAGGAGGTTATGGGTTATCATGGACTCTGTAGAGTCAGGCAAATTTGAGTATACATCCTGAGTTCTACCACTTTAAATTACATCTTTGGGTATATGACTTAATATTTTTAAACCTCTGCTTACTCATCTATGATATCATAAAGCTACGTCACAGATTGTCTTGTGTTTAAAATTAGAAATAGAATGTTTGGCACAGTACCTGATATACTGTAAGTGTTCAAGAAGGATAGATGCTGTGGTTAGTAACAATGATAATGTACCCTCAGCAGTATGCAGGCAATCATCAACATTATAAGAACATAAAAAAAAAAAAACCTTTCACTGCCCAGCTTCCCATTTTGGAATCACTTCTTTACAAAATCCAGATCAGGATTGATGACAGTGTTATAAACAAGAGGAAGATGATGGCAGAATTTCTAAAGCAAGTAAAGCTTATGTTTACTAGTTTTATGCTATGAATCATATGACTAGAAGATACTAACAGCATTCTTTCACTACCCAATTCTTTTGTTGAGGTATCCAGAGCTAACAAGAAAAACATTAAAGTTAAAACTTTGTGGGTCATGGGGCTTTAACTCAGGGCATGGGTGCTGTCCCCCTGAGCTTCTGTGTTTAAGGCTAGCACTCTACCACCTTGTAGCCACAAAGCCACTTCTGGTTTTCTGGTGGTTAATTGGAGATAAGAGAGTCTCACAGGCTTTCCTGCCTGGGCTGGCTTCAAATGGGATGTCAGCCTTTGAGTAGTTAGGATTACAGGCGTGAGACTTTTTAATGCACCCCTCTTCAGATGTCTTATTGAAAAAGAAAGGAGCCTCACGCTGATTTAACAGTGGATGTGTCTGCAGAATTTGTTTCTAGTATCTCTGGTTTAATGATCTCCTCCCTTTTCTATGGTTTACTAAATGCTATAAAAGAATTAAAGCTATTGTTTTCTAAAGCAGTAATTTTTCAGCTTTCTAGTAGCACCAGTGAAAGGTTTTAAGGGAGCCAGCATAGATCTGTAACACAATATATGTTTGAAAAGTTTAAAAGGCATGAGAAAACACCAAGGCAATTCAAGATGAAATTTTATTATAGCACTAGATACTGGAAAATAAACATCATTAATTATAGGCTGAAAACACTCATCACTCCAACACTTTCTTCTACTTTTTTGATGTAATGAGAAGTGAAAAGTTCATAAACTTGGAAAACCCTACAGCAATTAGATTTAATTCATGACCTATTAAAAACCCAAACTATAATGTAAGTATTCAGAGCACTGAAACTGAGAAGTGCTTTGGCAGCTGCTACAGAAACTTGGGGAATTCTAATGAGAAAGGAACAGCCCAGGACACTGGAAACTCTGTTTAGCTCATCTCTAAACTAAAGCCTCTGGTTAACTACATGGTTTCTCAATAGATTTAATTTGTTGGAAACTGCGTGTGCTCAAAACTTGGAAGTTATTTTTTAATTTAACATTTTTAGTGAATCTCATGGGAATAAATAGCATAAGAAATCTGCAACATCAAGTTAGTGTTTTCAAGTTTAGAAATTTAGCAGTTTTTTCACTACTTCTTATACATTTTTATGCGACACCACAATATAAAGTAGCAACTATGAGAGAAATTAAAGATATTCAATATTAGTTAAACAAAAGAGAAAATTAAGCACAATTAAGTCTTAAAAAGCTGTACCTATATTTCTAGAAAGGGAAGATATATAAAACAAGAGCCTATTAGAAAATATTCTATTCCAGGTAAGTTACTAATGGGATAGGATAAATTAATTCAGCACTGAATGAATACAACACAACCAATCTCAGATCAACCTCTAGTTATTGAAGTTCTCTTTCATGGCTCCAAAGATATTAGGCATAAAAATATTTTTTTGGAAATGTCTTTGTACAATTATGTAAACTCAGAATTCTTGTCTTTTAAAAGCTATTCTCAAAAAGAAGTCAGTAAACATGATTACATAAACTAGCCAAAAGTTAAAATGCCATATGGTCTTTGCATAATAATGTAAAAATATTTTTAAAGTTTAAAAAGTTATTTGCATCCCAAAAAGTAAACCTCAGAAGATACCTATATACAAAGTTCTTACTAATGAAGTCCATCTGTGCAACTGTAGAAACATGAATTTTTACTTCTTTCGTCCCTCCAACTTGGCTTAGGTAATCCACTGTCCATTTGCTTGTGCATGACCCCAAATCAATTCCTTCTAACACAAGTGGTTTTCTCTGCAAGGAAAAAATAATAACAAATTGTGTGAGTATGTATGTGTGAAAACCAATACTACATTGGGAGTTGTATTTGGTAATCAAGTTGATTCTTGATACCAAGATGTTCAAACTCAACACTTTTGACTTAAGTGGGAAGAGGATCCATGTAATATGCTTATACAAAATTTTAAGACAGAAAAATAAGAACAGGAACATCAATACACAAGAGAAATCCAAATATTAAAGTTATTTTCATCTTAAAAATTAAAAAAAAAATTTTCTAAGTCAAACATTTTTGTAACTTCTTATGGTTACAAAATAGTTTTGATACTATTCCAGACTTCTAAAAAAGTTGCAAATGGACAGTGGATTACCTAAGCCAAATTGGAATAGTATTTTATCCTATTTGCTTTATCATTTGCTCTCATACAATTTTTAGAGAGGGAAATATTGCCAACATCATGCTCCTTTGTCTCTAGACTTGAGTGCACCTTCAGAAAACATTCTCTTCCATAACCATGGAGTAATTATCAAAATTATGTTGCACATTGAGTTAATACTATTATGCAATCTATAGTCCCCTTCAGATTTAATTATCCCAACAATTTTCTTTAGTTACTTGTTCTCCTGGTCTAGAGTTCATCCTGAAAGGCTACAATGTGTTCACTTGCCAGGTGTGCGTCTCTTTCTCCTCACTCCTCTCTCCCTGATCCATCCCTCCCTCCTTCCCTTTTTCCTTCCCTCCCTCACCCTCATCCTGAACTCAGGGCCTGGGCACTGTCCCTGGCTTCTTTGTGCTCAAGGGTAGCACTATACCACTTGAGCCACAGAGCCACTTCCAGCTTTTTTGAGTAGTTTATTGGAGATAAGAGTCTCAAGGGGACTTTTTTGCCCAGGCTGGCTTCGAACCATGATCCTCAGATCCCAACAACCTCTTGAGTAGCTAGGATTACAGGTGTGAACCACCAGCGCCCAGCCCATGTCTCTTTAAGTCTGTTTTTCCTCCCCTCTATCTTTGTCTCCCATATCTACCATTAAAAAAAAAGAAAATGTAGTTGCAAAAAGATGTTACAATTCTGTAAGTCAATGACCTGACAATTTTGAAGCCCACAGGCCAGTTATTTTGTTCAGTGCTCTTCAAATTAAGTTTATCAGAAGTTTCTTCATGTTTAGATTCAGGTTATTCATTTTGCAGAAAGAATGTATTACAGAAAGAATGTTGTGATCATCCTGGAGTATATCAGGTGGCAACTGGTATTATACTCTACCATCTGAGATGTTAACTATGATAATTTTGATCTGAAATTAACAGTGATACAATCAGTACAAAATACAGTGATTTTTTTTCAACTCCATCATGTATTCTACATTTATTACTTGACACCATAATGTTAAAAGGTGAGCTCTGATATCTCCATTCATTAATTTTATTCTTAGATTATTAAATCTAAGGATTTTGTTTAAGACTTATTCCATAGCCCAAGCTATCCTCCAACCCCCAGGCCTTTCATTCCTGCCTCCTTAGTTGTAGGCTTACAGATGTATACCACCATGTTTATCCTTAGTAATGTAATTTTGATGTTCTAATTATCTCAGGTTTAGCCAGGCTGCATTAGGCTGATTGAACCTTTGGACTTTTTAACCTGAACACTTTACTTTACAGTGAAATAAAACAATCCAGTATTCTTTTGTACATTCTGTGTTCAGTCCTGCAAACAGCCATCTCTTTAAGTAGCTCTTGTTTCTTCTAAATGGGGAATGTGTAACTGAATATCATTACTTCTACTTATTCAGCAGTCACATCTAAGAAATTCATGTGTGTACACAACCTTAAATAAACAAAACACACAGCCATGTATGCATACACATGTACACTTAATGCATGAATCGCACATATTTCAATGTTTACTCTTTATTATTATGCATAAATTTTTTTCAACAGTGAGGAACCTAATTCCCATTATCCTCAATATTTAATCATCTGAAAAGCCCAAGAATATAAAGTATTTTCAGAATTTTTAGATCATGGCATTGTAAAAAGCAACTGCTAACCAGGATTATATCCTAACTATTTGGGAAGCTAAGTTTGGACAATGTAGTTTGAAGCCAGACCAGGAAAGAATTCTTATCTCTAACCAGAAAAAAGCCAGAAGTGGGGCTGTGATTCAAGTGGTAAAAGTGCTAGCAATGAGCAAAAAAGTTCAGGGACAGTGCTTAGGCCCTGACTTCAACCAATACACACACACACACACACACGCTTAGGCCCTGACTTCAACACACACACACACACACACACACACACACACACACACCCAACTCCTCCACTTCAACCAATACACACACACACACACACGCTTAGGCCCTGACTTCAACACACACACACACACACACACACACACACACACACACACACACACACACACACACACACACACACACACACACCCAACTCCTCCACTATCTAGTATTCAGTCTGTTTGCAGTCCACCATCCCCACCTCCCCATACTTTTTTTTTTTTTGGTGCCAGTCCTGAGGCTTGAATTTTTGGCCTAGGTGCTATCCCTGAAGTTTTTGTGATAAAGGCTAACACTCTACCACTTAAGCCACAGCTACCCTTCTGGGTTTTTTGATGGTTAACTGGAGGTAAAAGTGTTACAGGTTTTACTGCCTGAGATGGTGGCTTCAAACGACAATCCTCAGATCTAGGCCTCCTGAGCAGCAGGATTACTGACATAAGCTACCAGTATCCAGCTAGCTCAGGATATACAAGCAAAGTACTATGTTAAAAAAGTGTCTTCCGTTGCTTCTCCCCCTCCTCTGGATAGGTTCATTTGTTCTTTTGTTTTCTAATTTAAGGTTTTGTTATTTTAAATTTTCATATGCTTACTGATTATTATTATTTATTCAGGCATAAAAATAACCAATGTTATAAATTTCTTAATTATCACTTCTGTGTTTCTTGCCTGCTATGTCCTCAAAAAGATACATTTTCTTATCCCACCCTTTTATGTAAAAAGTGGCTTGCTTTATTTTCTTCTATGATTTGCTTTTTGTAAAATACAAAAATATACTTTCAAAATAACGGCTATCAGTTCAGATATCTCCTTTCTTCTTTTTTGTAACTGCTGAGTATAGTACAGTATAAGTAGGCAATAATGTATTCAATCACTCTCCTATGTAGTCTGTCAGGTTATTTCAATAATTTTAAGTTCAACATTTTTGGAAAAATGCTTTCAGGAATAATTCTGAAATGAGAATTTGCTGAGTCGTAAACTAAATACATGTAGTTTTATTAATATTTGTATAAAGGTTTAAATCTCTTGGCATAAAATGTGAGAACAGCAGTTTCTTCATAGCTTCACCAATAGCTTACCTTCAAAATTTCTTAATTTTTGCCAATACGTGAGGTAAGAACTAGTACTTGTGTAACTTTAGTTTTTCCTAAAGTTGACTATCCTTTCAAATGGCTAAAGACTATCTTAATAGTTTTTTGTTTTGTTTTTCAATTAATGCTCAGTTTGGGCCTTTCCCCCACCCCCCTCCCCTCCTTTTAAAAGTTCTTTGTAAGACAAGGTCTTTTTACAATCCTTTATGAGATCTATGTTGAAAATACTTTCTTTCCATTTGTTATTTCAACTTTATTTACAGTGCTTGTCATGCAAAATTTTCATGTAGTCAGACCGCAACTTTTTTTTATTGTAAAGATGCTGTACAGAGGAGTCGAACATTGTTACCCCCGCCTTTGTTTTTCTTCTACTATCCCTAAGACTGTAACTTTTTACTGTATCTGAAGTTGGAGTCATAGAAAAGGTTTCCAACAGACCTAGAGGAACTTACTGTTCTAATACTCGTGTGATTTCTTTTTCTTACATTTGGGATATACTTGTTCATTGCTGTACATGGTATATTTATTGTTTTCTGAATGACTAGTTAGCACCGTTAAAGCAGTGAAACTACTACAGTAACAGTGTCTATGTGCAGTGAACTTTCTAAAACCACAGCAAATGCACAACACCAAGAGTGATTTTAGACTATAGACTCTGAGTAAAAACTATGTCAATGTAGGCTCTTATGAGAAACATAATGGATATTACATACTGTGAGGGCAGGAAGTATATGAGAAATCTCTGTACCATCTGTTCATTTTGGTGTGAAGCTAGAACTATTCAAGAACAATATATTAAAAATATTTTTGACTCAGTGATTTTTGAAATGTCATGTTCATATATACTCATTTTCCATCCTGAAAAAAAAAAAACTATATAGAGAGAGTGTCATTGTTGGACTTTTTTTTGGGGGGGGGGGGGTCCGGTCGTGGGGCCTGAACTTGGCCTGGGCGCTGTCCCTCAGGTCTTCAGCTCAAGGCTAGCGCTCTACCACTTGAGCCACAGCGCCACTTCCGGCTTTTTTCTTTTTGCTTATGTGGTGCTGAGGAATTGAACCCACGGCCTCGAGCATGCAAGGCAAGCGCTCTACCACTGAGCCACCTTCCCAGCCCCCTTTTTTTTTGGGGGGGGTCCAGTCGTGGAGCCTGAACTCTGGGCCTGGGCGCTGTCCCTCAGCTCTTCAGCTCAAGGCTAGCACTCTACCGTCATTGTTGGACTTTCTATTTTTGTTTTTGGCTAGTCTTAAGCTTGAACTTTGGGCCTGGGCCTTGTATCACTTAAGCCACAGAGCCACTTCCAGCTTTTTCTAGTGGCTGGAGATAAGTTTCACTGACTTATAAAGACAATCCTCACATCTCAGCCTCCAAACTAGATTAGAGGTGTGAACCTGTTATAGGAAGTGGAGTTTAGCTCAAGTGGTAGAGCACCAACCTTAAAAAAGCCAAATAAGAGATGAGTCTGAATGCTATTTGCTTACAAGGTTGTAATCTTCATTTGCACTTTTTCAAGTTTGTCTCAAAAAGCTGTGTGGAGGGTTTTTTTAATGGTAACTCATAGAAAACCAAATTTTCTGAGCCTGAGATATGGTGTACAGCTTATAATCAAGTGTTATTTTATAAATAAAATCTTTGTAGGAGCAGAAAAAAAAAAAGCCAAGTAAGAGCACAAGGTCCTGAGTTCAAGCCCTAGTACTGGTACCAAAGGGGGGGAAAACTAAAAAATATTTTACTATAAAAATAAAATATACATATAAAATATTAGAACAAAAGAAGATTAAGTAAAAAGTAAAGTTCTGCTTCTGTCTTTATGCTTTCTCCAAAGATACACCTAAGGCATTAATCATTTCTATCCTCCAGACACCTGAATACCATTAAAACACAGGTATCAATGCCTGTCAGACTTGCTACTTTTTATCTGTGCACATTTATCATGCCTCGAGTTAATGGTAGAGTTTTCAGAACATGTTAAAAAACTAAACAGGTATTCTTTTTCCTCTCTCCATTTTGTTATAATTTTTAGTCTTATTATAAGCACAAAAGGTCGTAGGAATTTTATACTTTATGAAACTTAGCAATGCTTCCACATATATTATGTCTGGACAGAGAAAACTAACTTGCTGTGCATCTTACAAAACACTTGCAAATGTAGGATTCAGTCTTCACAACACTGCCCTGTCAGTACGGATACTGCATCCCTATCATTCCTGAGATGGGGTTTGAGGAAGAGCAACCCATAGAAGACTAGTTCTGAAAAATAAACGAAGCTTTGAATGGTCTCCAGCGGGTTTTGAACCTAACAAAGGGGAAAAAAATGTTCATCCTTGACTTGATCCTCAGATCACGCTAACAGATGTGTACATCAACGAAGAAAACTATTTTTTGTTGTTGTAGTTTGCTTGCTTGTTTTTCGTCTATCAATTTTGTCCAGCCACAGCTTACTTTCACCTTCGGGGTTTTTTTTCCCTTTAAATGCTTGCTATTTTTTTTTTTTCTGAAGTACTTAAAAAGAACAAAAACAAAAAAACCAAACGTCTCCTTTATGCTACCAGAAGTTTTCTTATTTAAAACCAAAACAAAAACACAAAACTGAGAGATTCTGAAGTCTGAACTACAGACAAGGTTAGAACCCAGGACCAAGGACGTTTTGGGGGAGATTTCCACGCCGGTGGACGGAGGGCCCCGCGGGGCTCCGAACCGAGTTCCCCGCAGGGCTGCAGGGCGTGGGCCCACGGGCCCCTCGCGTCACCCAGCGGCCGGCCCGGGGAGCACGGACCTGCCAGTCCGTCCCTCCCGCGGGGTCTCCCCGCCCGCTTCCCAGCCTCGGGCGCCGCGGGGCGGCGCGGGCAGGGGCCTCCCGCCTCGAGGTCCTCACCTGTGGATAGAGGTGCTGCAGGAACCGCTCCCGCGAAACGCCCGGCAGCCGGGGCACGGGGCGGCGCTCGCCCGCCATGCTCGCGCTCCCGGGGGCGTCTCCGGAAGGCCTCGGGACCTTTGGCGCCTGCGCGTTCGTCGGCGACCGCTCCGCTCGGAAACACGACCCGGGGAAGAAAAGGTCCGCGAGACCCGTGACCGTTCCCAGGGCAGCTGGGTCCGAGGGCGAGGCGGGGAAGCCCAGGGCCTCTACTCGGGCCTCTCGCTGTTGAGCCGGGATGGGCCGGCTCACTAGAGATGGCCGCCACCGGCCTGCGTGGCTCCGGATGGGTCTCTGTTCTCCCCATCGCGTGGTTCCCCTCCGGCTTCCTAACGCCACTGCACAAGCGAGCAGAGGGGTGAAAGGTCACCAACATGGCGCTGGCCGCCGGGCTGTTTCTGCGGCCGCGGTTCTCCCGTTCGCTGCCTGGCGGGGCCGCCCGGCTGCGAGCTCCTGGGGGCACCGAGGTGAGACTGTCGTGGGCCGGACTTTGCTGCTTGTGCCGCCGCCGCCTCGGCTCGGGAGCGGCTCCGTGTCCCCGCGGCGCTCGCGCGATGGCGGCCCCGCTGCCCCCCGTGCGGGGTCCCCGGCGGCCGCTGCTCAGCCCCCCCGCGCTCCCCGCAGCCCTCGCCTCTTTTCCCGCTCGTCCCTCGCGCAGCTACAGCACCGAGGAGCCGCCCCAGCCACGCCAGAAAACCAAGATGATCATCCTGGGCTTCTCCAACCCCATCAACTGGGTCCGGACTCGAATTTACGCCTTCCTTATCTGGGCCTATTTCGACAAGGAGTTCACAATCGCCGAGTTCTCTGAGGGGGCGAAGCAGGTTTGTTCGCTTCCCTAGGGGACCAGTTTTGACCCCAGTGTTGAAGGGGTGACCTCAATCACCAAAAACCGCTGGCAGTTCCCCAGATACCGTGTCCTCCAAGTCACTTCTAAAAGCCAGGGTCTGGGTGTGTTTGCACCGTCGCGGCCAGCGGTCTGTGAAAGCACACGATTGTGTTGTTCACGCGAGTCAGACGGAAAGAGACTCGTTTCTGCTACTTTTAAAACTGGTTGCCTTCCCCTCCCCTCTCCCGCCCGTCCCCCAAATCTGCAAAATGGGAGAGAAAAAATGATGGGTGCACACAGTCGACAGTTCATACTATTCGTTGAACAAATTGAGTGGATTTGGTTGGGTAAGATTAAATTTGTCGGCTAAGATTATGATGAGAAATGGGATAACATTTCCAAAGTACTAGAGCCTCTTGTCGTTGGATATTAGAAATTCCTGCCAAGTATTTGATCGAGCTTAATTGCACATCTCCACGTTCCTTAAAGGATAATAAGTGAAAAGAAAGTGTACCTTTTCAGAGAGTTTACAGAGACTCCCTGAACCCGGGAGTATAGTACAGCACACACCCATCAACAGCAAGTAGACTTTGATGATTAATGCCCCTGAGTTTTGTTGTTGTTATGACCCTCTTAATGACTGGTATCTTATCCTTGCCATTTTGAATCCTGAATTTATTTGCAGATTTTGTATGTACACATATTTTTCTAAGATAGATAAAAGACCATCTGAGCCTCTCCAGGTTTTCTTAGTTTGTCTTCCCCAAATATTGCAAAACTATTGGTAAACAATAGTTTATTTCCCAATCTATACCAACATAAACTTCTTACTCATACTATAATCACAATCCTGACAGTTATAAATGGAGTGTTTTCAACTTTATGTAGTCAATGTCAGTATTAACTCTGCTTCCAAGTCAACTCTTAACTGCTTTATATGTGTTTATATATTTTTTGAAAAGTTAAAGTGCAAAGACCAAGTTTGATTAATATGCCTAATTCAGCAGCATAATGCAGGGATAAACCTCTCTGCGCATGTTAGTTTTCCATGTCAATTGTACATGCAGAGGTAAATTGGTATGACCCTACTGTCCTCTGATGACCATGTCAATCTCTCCACTTCATAATACATATGTAACTACCAGCTCATGCTTGTGTACGGAATGAAAATCATCTTCCTGTTATGAGCAGGAGTCAGGCCATCATTCTTTTGCCTCTGAACACAAAGAGGAAGTTTGAACACTTTTGAAATTTCTCTGATCCTACCTGCCAACAGTTTTAACTTCCTTCCTTGCAGTCAAACTATATTTCTACCTCATCATCCAATTTATGTTCACTTTTGCTCTAAGTCAATTTTTTTGTTCAATTAATCATTCTGATGTCCAAAATCAAATGTCTGGATCAGCTATGGAAAAATATTTGATAATTCCTTTAAACCCATAGTTATTGAGCATACCAGTCAGATCAAGCAAAACAGTTCTTCAACATCCACAATAACATATATGTTTTCATAAAAGGACATAATGAAGAACACCTCCCTGAACAAATTGAGTGGATTTGGTTGGGTAAGACTAAATTTGTCGGCTAAAATTATGATGAGAAATGGGATAACATTTCCAAAGTACTAGAGAGCCTCTTGTCGTTGGATATTAGAAATTCCTGCCAAGTATTTGATCAAGCTTAATTGTGCATCTCCACGTTCCTTAAAGGATAATAAGTGAAAAGAAAGTGTACCCTTTCAGAGAGTTTACAGAGACTCCCTGAACCCGGGAGTATAGTACAGCACACACCCATCAGCAGCAAGTAGACTTTGACGATTAATGCCCCTGAGTTTTGTTGTTGTTATGACCTCTTAATGACTAAAAACCCATGGAAGAAAGAAGTCCTAATTTTAAGTTTCATTTCTCATTACTAGGAACGTGAAGAATTGCACTATTATTTCAAGTTTCAGATCTACTGTTTTAGTTGATAAACTTGTTCTCTTTCCTCACACTTTCTGAAACCTACCTTGTCTCCATCAATAAAGTTTAAGCTGCAAACCAGCACACTCTCTCACACTCCCAAAATAGTCTAAAGTTACCTGCTTTCCAACTGCTATATGTGATTAAGAAGTAGCTTGTAGGCTGGGCACTGGGGGTTCACACCTGTAATCTTAGCTTCTCAGGAGGCTGAGATCTGAGGATTGAAGTTTGAAGCCAGCCCAGGCAGAAAAGTCCATAAGACTCTTCTCTTGAATTACCAGAAAATACCACCAAAAAAAAAAAAAAAAAAAAAGAAAAGGCCGAAGTGGCACTGTGGTTCCAGTAGTAGAGCATTAGCCTTGAGCAAAAGAAGCTCATGGATAGTACCCACCTAGGCCCAGAGCCCAAGCTCCAGGACTGGCTTAAGAAAAAAAAAAAGAAGTACCTTGTATAATTGCCAAATGGTTATTTACCTTGTCATTATTAGAATATATATGTATACATGTACATAACATATACAAATATATGTGTACATCTACATATATATGAGGTGGGTTTTTAAATGTTTTTTATTGTGAAAATACTGTACAGAAGGGTTACAATCACATAAGCAAGGTAATGAGAACATTTCTTATCAAGCATTGTTGGCTCCTCCTTAGTTTTTCCCCTACCATCCTTTCCCTCTCATCTCCACAGCCACCCCTCCCCCACCTCCTAAATTGTAAAGTTCATTTTTGGACATAGTGTCTTGTACATGTGTCATTGTTGCAATGGGTCTGAGGCATGCACTGTCATTTCTTGGGTCTTGAGAGTTATGTATAATTAATTAGCTGTTGTATCCCTACTATATATGTAGGAATGAGATCTAAGAAAAGTCAACCAACTTTTTAAGGTGCCATGCCTAACATTGTTAAATTTATATTTGAAATTATCACCTTTACTACAGAGTAACCTGTTAAACTTAGCCATGTAAGATTGTATAGTAATATGCATTAGACTCTGAAATGCTAATTGTTACTCTATTTTTTAAGGCTTTTGCACATGTATCCAAGTTGTTATCACAGTGTAAATTTGATCTTTTGGAAGAACTTGTTGCCAAAGAGGTAAGTATGCTTCTAATTTTTCTTAAAAGTAAATGTATGTTTCTCTTGTAATAGAATGGTACACATTATGCTTAAAATATTGTGTGTGCCGGCAGTCAAAGTAGAGTCTACCTTTATATAAAAGCTGGAATCATTCCTACTACAGAAGGGCATAAATAACTAATTATGGTGTCTTTCAGTTTCTATTTTTGTAATGTTCTATTAGGACGTATCTACTTGAATATTTAGATGGCTTTAATTAAATGCCTTACTTTTGAAGATTAGTAAAAAATAGAAAAATTCATTCCACAGTGAAGAATTTTTTACAAAGTTTAATTGTGAACTAATGGTTTGCTTTTTTCAAAATGTAGGTGTTACAGGTACTCAAAGAAAAGGTTACCTCATTACCTGATAACCATAAAAATGCTCTTGCTGCTGACATAGATGAAATTGTCTATACATCAACAGGAGACATTTCCATTTACTATGATGAGAAAGGTAATGCTGGCGCATAAGCAACTTTAAATGATACACAGTTGTCCAGATAAGCTGAAGTAGTGACCAAAAATAGTAGAGTTTTGTCTGCATAAGTGGATATCAATGAACAGATGTTCATTGTTCTCAAAGAGTTAAGATATGGTAATATTTTGAATACCTTCCTATTTAGGTATTTTGGTACCACTATTTAATACACAGCAGAGAAAATCATTACTTAGATTGACAAAATGGTCCATTTAGGATAAGAGACTGCTTAAGTCTCAGACTGATAGGAAAAACCTATTAACTTTAGAACTCCAGACTGGGAATAGTGAAAATTGTTGGAAGTTTAGTGTTTATCTGGTTCTTTTCTTTGTCTAATCTGTACATTTACCAAGTAGCAGTCCTGACAGTTCATTGATGGATTAATTTTTTACATATTTGGATATATATATATATTATATGCCAGGCACACAGGAAATCTAGACCTAATTTATGTATTTCGCAAGGTAGTAATGATAGAGGACTCTTAATAGTTAGAAAAATTTTGTGTACATTACAAAATATTTATAAAGGTATTTTGGTGATAAATATTTGTTCTCTGGTATTCCAGATTTCATGTTAGCAGTGTAGTTACTAACTTATTTTTAGATACAATATTGTGATAATTGCCAAGCATAGTAGAAAAAGTTAGGGTAAAAAAGATGATGCTTAGACCATTACAGTAGCTCCAACCTATAATTGTAGCTGAGAGGTAGAGGTAGAGGAAACTCAGTCTGAGACCAACCCTGGGCATGAAAGTTTACTAGACTTGATCTGAACCACTGGCTGGCACAGTGGTGTATCTGCTATCCCAGCTACAGGGGATACCCAACAGCTAGCAAAGTGACATGTCTGTCATCCCTAAGACATGGAAAAGAATGAATAAGATGATCACAGCCCAGATGGCCTGGGCATAAAGTGAGACCCTACTTTGAAAATTAACCCCCAAAGAAGCTGGAGGCATGGCTCAGGTAGTAGAGTTCCTACTGAACAAGCTGTAAATCCCTCCCCCAAAAAGAAAGAAAAGAAAGAGCTTTTATTTTTTGAGGCAGTTAATTACTTAGCAGGCCTCCCCCCATTTTAATATTGACAACAGACATCTGCCATAAAACTATTATAATTTTAGAAAATGCTATAAATTAAGAATAATTCATATTGTACACTTAGTGAATTATATACTCAGAATATAGTAACTTTATTCTAGTGGGATATAGGGAGAAAGACAAACCCTAAGACAATTTTCTATAAGTAAAGAGAATTAATATTACTTAATTATTTTATTAATTTTTATTAAAACTAGTTTCACCAGAGCATGTGCAGTTTGATCTATATTATTGTTGGTTTGTTTTGGATATATGGATAATAGATTATTGTGGTTTGTATATGTATGTGTGTGTGTATTTTTCTCTAAGGAAGGAAGTTTGTTAACATCCTGATGTGCTTTTGGTATCTAACGAGTGCCAAAATCCCCAGTGAAACTTTAAGTGGAGCCAGTGTATTTCAGGTTAAGTTGGGAGATCAGAACGTGGAAACTAAACAACTTCTTAGTGCAAGCTATGAGTAAGTGTGATCATGAATCATTTTTTCCTTTCTCTGGAATGTGAAAGGCAGTATGAAAGTTTAAAGGGAGTTTGGGGAAGAGAAGTATTAAATTAACACATTTGAAAAGACAAGTCATAAAGACACTCTGGATGTGAAATACTTTTAATAAAAATTTTTTTTTAAATTAGAATACTGATGAGTTTAATGTTTCAGCTATTTACTACGATGAAACAAAGCACAAGTGGCTTCCAACAGACATCTATTTTACCTGTGATTTCACTACGAAGAGAACTGTAGAAAGCTCACCTGTGGGTTTTTCTCCATTTCACTTGCCATCCACTAGGATGACAGGAGGATTCATTTCCACAATATCTTCTCGTGTGTGGCATCTTGGTGTTTCTTGCCATCACCACAACCTAGCATTCTCTTTGTGATTTGGGCTTATAGTAGGTTTCTTGTTTTATTTTGTATTCAGCTGATTAGATTCTATGCCCTAAAGTAAAACAGAAGCATTTCCACCATAGTCTGTCACACTAGTCACAGGACCTGTGAACTTTAAAGGCTGTGAAGAGACCCAACTCCTTGGAGCAACAATTGGTATGGCCAGACAAACTACAGAAGAACACATGAGGTGTATATGATGTTTGCAGCCACCTTTGGAAAATAAAATCAGCCAAAATTGGCATGTTAACTTTTCACTACTAGACAAATTTATCAGTCACCTATGCTAAGTACAGATTCAAAACCAAGGGAATTCTGCTGTTAAGGGAATACTTTCAGTAGGAAATTAGCAAAATATTTTAAAGACATTTTATTATGTTTTTGTACTAATAAAATTTGGAGCAGCAAATGACTAAAACAAATCAATAGAGGCATAGTTAATACTTTAAAGACAGTGCTGCTGTTGTTTTGCCCAAGTTATACAAATTTGATTTCAAATAATGAATAAATTCTGAATATGTTCAAAGAAAGAAAATGCATTGTTTCACTGTTATATTTGAATTATATATGTCTTTATTTTTTACTTTTCTTGAAGTGTTTTTTACATGCTTATTATCCAGAATATTCTATATATTTAAATATTTACGTAAATTTACTTAATTTTCTCTTTTTAAAGACATTTTTAAGGATCTCTATAATCAGTACTAAACTTTTGTCTTCCCTGAGATTTCTAATAAGAAGCTCAAGAACACTCATATATTGAAGATTGATTTAGTAGCATATAAACCAAACTTCATTTATTTATTCCTAATTGGTAACTATAGCAATGTTACTTGAGAAACAGCTTTTCCTATGGTGTATATATAATTTGAAGTACTTTTTGCACCACCAGAATCTAGTTTACTTCTGTTTGTACTAGACACATGTTTAGCTAGTATAGGTAGAATAATATCCTAGCTTCTTCCCAGAGCTGGCAGATGTTGAAAGTAAATCAACATCTTACTTTAGTGCTTACTTTAGTTGGAACTGTACTTCAGTTTTTGTGGTACAGTTTTTGTGATTCAATTGGCAGGTTAAACTTTACTTTTTTATTTACCATTAATGTTAAACTGGTTTCTTGTTAAAAGCAGCTTGTAATACACATTTGCAATTATATATAGTTATTGAAGAAGTATTTCAACTGTTGTAAGATTTATACTTTTATAATATCTTTCCTAGATTTCAGAGGGAATTTACACAAGGAGTAAAGCCTGATTGGACCATTGCACGGATTGAACATTCAAAGTTACTAGAATAATCTTTCTTGGAAGAAAATCAGCTTCTGGACTTTGAGTGGTTGCTGTGAAAAACTAAAGAAAAACTTTGGATCATTTGATCTTCGCTTAATCAAGTCTGTGGATTACTTTTGTATTATTTTGAATTACTCCTTGTAGTACATTGGCATATTACAATAATGCATTTTCCACAGATCATTAGTGTTTTTTAAAAGAGGTCAAATTAAAAAAAAATCAACACATTGGTGTCATATTTATTATCTTATTCGGTGTTTTGTGTTTACATACAAACTAAGTTGATAGACATCATAAAATACTGAAACTATTTGTATATCTCTAAATTAATAGTTCTTAAATTTTATCATGGCCAACACATCTATACAATTAATCTAAGGATAGGTAAATTTTATTTTTAAAACACATAACAGCTTGGCATTTGTTTGTTACTAGCTAGAAGAAATGTATGGAATAATCATAGATTTGTCTCTGCAACACTAAAGATTAGTGAACATCAATAAGGGAAAAATAACTTTAAAAATCCCAAAGCAACAATGTCTCAGTTCCTATAAGAAGATAACATACTTGTATTTTGCGTTCTAAAACTTGAAATAAGGAAGCAAATAAGTTTTTTTTAAATGGCCAGAATTTTCTCTAATTAATGAAAATTGTAACCTCACAGTTTCACAAAATTCAACAAGTGTGGTTACACATAAATATCTCACCAACATACATGATAATGAAATTGCTGGAATCAGACAAATTGTAAAAACAGCTGAAATAAAAACAAGCATTCCATGCAGAGGAACCAAGATAATGACTCCCATTTTCTCAAATAGCAAGTAAGAGAGCCTAGCATGATATCTTAAAATACAGAAGGAAAAAATACATAACTTGTTGACTTAGAATTCTACCTTCAACAATTCTCTTAACTGAAAGTGACAGATGGTCAGAAATAAGAGTTTTGTTACTAAGAGACATGTTTCATGAGATTTGCTAAAAGCCAATATAGAGAGGATGGAGTTCACAATCTACCCATGAAGATGTAGGCAACTGATTTTTGATGAAGGAACAAAGATTCAATGAGGAAAAAAGTAGTCTTTATTTTTTTAAAACAACTTTTGATTAACTTTATACAGGAAATTAACTTCATCTCTTTTCTCACACCATAAAAATTTAGAATATGAAATGGATCAATATTTAAACAAAAGCTAAAACTAGAAATGCTAGAAAGAAGCAGGAGAAATTCTTTGTCATCTTAAGATGGACAGAGTTGAACCACGAAAGAAATTGTTGAACTAGAACTTGATAAAATTACTCTTTGAAATACCAGTAAAAGAAGAAAACAAAGCTATCAGGATTTAATTACAGGGACTCCACCCTAATGACTTTATCCAGGGCCATAATTTCAGATATACTATAGGTTCCCACCCTCATCTCATAATGAAGATTAGATTTCAACACGCAAAGCCTTGGAGGACATACAATTGATATACTAATCTTTGCTGGTGCCAATTCCAAGTGTTGGTAAAGATAAAGGCAACTAGAATTTTCATACAACTCTGGTAGGGATCCAAAATTCTTCCATTATACATACAGTTAAATGTGTACTTACCATAGGATCCAGCACATGATGATGTACAGACTACAGAGTGTACATTCAGCATTTTTTTGGTGGGGGGGAGTCGATAGTGGGCCTGAACTCTGGGCCTGGGCACTGTCCCTCAGCTCTTCAGCTCAAGGCTAGCGCTCTACCACCTGAGCCACAGCACCACTTGCGGCTTTTTTCTTTTTGCTTATGTGGTGCTGGGGAATCGAACCCAGGGCCTCAAGCATGCAAGGCAAGTGCCCTACCATTGAGCCACCTTCCCAGCCCCAGCATTTTTCTTAATAACTGGAAAGCCCTAAGTTTTCAGTAGATGAAAAAGTCTGCAAGTGAATGACAAAGCCAGACAAAAGACTACATATTTCACTACAATTTTAGTTCTGCAAAATTTTAGAAAAAGGTAAAACTAGTCTTATTATGACAAAATGAGTGGAAGGAAAGGTGGGGGAGGATGGGTGTGAAGTAGGAAGATTTGATTTTCAACATGTACAAATGAGGCTTTAGGAATAAGAAATGGTACATACCTTGGTCAGTGGTGGTTATATGTCTATACAATTGTGACATCATTTTGTGGACTTAACAAATAGCATTTTGTTATGTTAATTATTTTGTGTTATATGTAAATTATGCCTAAAGTAGCAAAAAGATGTTTTGCAGAAAAGTAAGTAGCAGAATAGCTGAAATGCTTCTATTTTTATAAATTATAAAAAAGGTAATCTAGTCCATGTAAAATCAAATAATCTTAATGCAATTTCATCTAATCTTAGATGAGGTACATCTTAGATGAAGTGGATAATATACTACGTATATTACTAAAAATAAATGTAGTCAGTTGGACTAGAGATTTGGCTCAGGTAATAGAGTGCTAGCTTAGCAATCATGAAGTCCTGGGTTCAATTCCCAGTTGCCACTAAAAAGAAAAAAGAAAAAGGGCGAGTAAATTACCACTTGATGTAAATTTTAAGATATATCACAAAAGATTTTTTCTGGAGATATTTTTATTTCCTTATTTCTTCCAACAACTTAATGGATACACAGACATAACACACTGCACATATTTGAGGCACACAATTTGATAAGGAATCACCATCACATTAATAGAATATATTAACTCACTGTTTTCCAGCTCATGTGTGTAGAACTGGTTGGTTTTTGTTGTGTTTTGTGAGCAAATTGAAACTTTGAGAATTTATTTTACAAATTTACACAACTCTTTAGCATTTAGTCTAGGTTTCTGGACACAGAGTCCGTGGTAGTAATTTTTTTTTATCCATACCCTCAGCTTACTAAATATATCCTGAAACATTCTGTGGGAATGTCATTAAAGAAAATAACATAGTTCCTGAAGCTACTCTTTACAGAGTTTTATCTCAGACAATATATGAATGCAACAAATCATTTAAACTCAGTTTTTCAATAGTACATATTTCTTGCAATTTTTCCTTTTAATGGACCGCTCTTCTCAGTTTGCATTTGTGTTAACAATTCTGACATAATTCATTAACATTACTGTCTCAAATTTTATATCCCTACAAGTCTCTGAAGCTATTGCTGCATGGTTATGAAAAGAAGGTATGGAATAACAACAAAAATGCAAATTCAATAAATACAAGCAATAAAACATCAACAACCTGAAGGTATACTTGCTGTGATAAATTGTCCCCAGATACTAAACATGTATCTGCCAAAACACAAAGGCCTCCAACCACTAACTGACTGGTTCCAAGTTTGAGGCACAGGTGTATTTTGAAGAATGTACACTAAGAGTAAAAGAATGTCTGTAAGGATCATGATAACTAAGTTCATAATACATTTCTAGTTTGTGACATATTTGTGCCCTCTCAAAACCACTGAAGTTTCCAATAGTTTCCTTAAGGACTTTGGGGAAACACAATTCTTTAACTTTGAATTTTGAGATAATTTTAGATTTATACAATAATTACAAAATTAGTTCAAAGAGCTACTTTTTTTTTATCAGTATCTCCTAAAGCTGAAAGCCTACAGAACCTTAGTATAGTTACCAAGGGATATAATGCTTTAAACTGCTTTAGTTCATTGGCTTTATTGGTACTCACCAGCATTTTTTTTTTACTAATACTCTCATTTCCATCACAAAATCTAATCTAGCTGCTTAGTTATCCTGTCTTCTTAGTTTACCTAATTTGCAACAATTCCTTTGTCTTTCTTTGTCTTTCATTAACGATGGCCTTGAAGCTTTCAAATATTAATTATTCAAGTGAAAGACTGAAACAAAGTCTTCCAAGCAAATGGCCCTCATAAACAGGCTGGGATAGTAATACTAATATCAGATAAAATATATTTCAGATTACAGTTAGAAAAAACAAAGAAGGACATTTCATACTAATGAACTCAGGTTTCTGTCTGATGTAGTTGATTATTTTCTTGGTTATTTCTCGATTATTTTCTTCGGGTTATATTCCTCCTTTTAGTATTTTTTTTTGTAGTGCTGGCTTCTTGTTTATGAATTGCTTTAATTTTTCATTTTTGTTAAAAATTTTAGTTTCTCCATCTAATGTGAATGCTAATTTCACTGGATATACCAGTCTGGGTTGGCAGTTATTGGTTTTCAGGGCTTGGCTGGTAATTTTCCAGGCTCTCCTTACATTGAGGATTTGTCTGGAGAGGTCTGCAAGTGATTCTAATTTCCTTTCCATAATAGTATAGTTCTTTCCTTGATTTTACAGCATTTAAAATCAGCTCCTTGCAATTCAGGTTCAGTGTCTTTACTACAGTATGTGTAGAACTGTTTCTTCTAGGATCTTGTCTTATAGGTGTGTTGCATGCTTCTGTTATGTAGGTGAGGTTTTCTCTTTGGAGATTGGGAACATTTTCTGTAATAATCTTATTGAATAAGTGTTGCATCCCTCTCTATTCTGGTATTCCTCTCCTTCCTCGATCCCAATGATACGAAGATTAGATTTCTTGGTATTGTCTGCCAGTTCTTGGACTTCCCTTTGGCAATTTCTGAGTGTTTATTTCCCCATATCTATGACTTTCTTCTCCAGCTTCTCTGTTTTATCTTCAACTCCTGATTTTCTATTTTCCATCTCATTCATTCTGTTACCTATGGCTTCCACCACAGTGGAAGCATTGCGGAAATCGATCCATTTATGGTTTCTCTATCGGTTTTCAAAGTGTTAATTTCATCTTTTAACAAGGTATGTACTCTGTCTATTCTTAACTGTGCCTCTTTTTAGGTCTTGGGATTCCTTTGATATCTCTTCTTTGTGCTCTTGGTTGTAACTCTATTACTTTGGCCCGTTTTGCGATCATTTATTTATTTAATCTTTGTCCTCCATTTCTTCTTTCTTCTTGGCTCTCACTAGAGTTCTTTCCTGGGTTGCTGCTGGCTTTGGGGTTTGTTTTGTTGTCTTGATTCTTCAGGAATCTTGTTCTCTTTAGTTGTGATTTGCGCGTTTCGGTCTGTGGGCCAAGCTCTGCCTGTTGGTGTTCCACAGGTAGGAGCCATTTCTTGGCGGGGGCTGGTTCCCAGTGGGTCGCCTGACCTTAGGGCCACTGTAGACAGGTACTCCCTTGGCAGCTCCAGTGTCGGTGGTGCTCCTCCAGCGGCGGGAGCACACATCAGGGTCCAGTGGCCTAGGCGGCTTCCGATCCCGG